AACCCAAACTTACTACATTGACTTAGGCATTTTTTGAAAAAAAAGTTTGCTTGTTCAGACTTGTAAATTTATGAAAACTGAAATAAATACATTAGAAAATAATTGACTTTTAAAATGCCACAAATTCACTATAAGACTGTTTAATAGTTTTGTTGTCAGTTCTCAAGAAAGAAAAAGAATACATAAATCCAGTTTCATGTTTGGCTTTTATTAAATTTCTAAAAGTAGTCCTTTCAAATAATGAAAACAATTATCAGTCATTTTAATTCTAAATAAGAATTTCACAAAAATATAAGATTTAGAACTGTATTAAAATTTTATAACTAAAAATTAAGCCTAAAGTCAGACATTAAGGAATTAAACTAAAATATATTTATAAAAAAAAAAGAGACTTATTTAGTGTACATACTCTATGATTTAGAAATAATGAAAAATTCTTTCTACATGAAATGTAACTTTATTGGACTAATCAGTTTGAATAATTAATAAGTGTCTGGATTTTTTATGTTATGTTAAAACAATGGCAAAATAAGACAATTTGGCACCCAAAATATATTGGGTTTAATCAATCTGGAATATGTTAGTCTCTTTGGGGGGGGGATTAAATTGTAAAGTTTAATTTTCAACAAAATTGCACTAACATCATATTCAGATTTTTCAATAATGTTTGCAAAGCTTATTTCCAGTTTAGTGCCTTTACTAAACTAAGTCTGGCAAAAGGATACAATTATGGAGTACCTAGAGCAAGATAAGCAATGTAATAGGCAAGTATGACCTCTTCTTATCCATACATGAACTTTAGAATATTAAGGAATATCCCAAATTGTAATTCTAGTGATAGCACTTATCCAGACCCAACCATGTGGGATAGATTCATAAACTTTCTCTAAAAATTGAGTAAATTTCACCTTATCAGAACAACTTGTGTAATGATACGAGCTGTGAAACAGCAAATGACTTGTAAAAAGTTGCTCATAGGAACGGCCTTTTTAATTTTTTTTTTTTTTTTATTTATTTGAGTACATGATGTTATAACAGGTTCTGAGATTATCACATCTCAGAAATACTCATGTCACAAGATCGTTACCTATATCAAACTGCTACATAGAAACTTAGTTCAAAGCTATGCAACATATCTTGACAAAATGTTCTGTCACCAGCATATCATACTGACTGATGGAAAATAAAAAAGACAGTTGGGTTAATGTGATATTATCTGTTCTTGCTCCATATTCAACTTTAACAAGGGTAAATGAAAATCCCTCTCTAATCACCACAGTATTTGAAAATTAATTCTAACAAAGATTTTAAGTTTAGTTAAAAAAAAAAAAAGTTTAAGGAGGTACTGCCTAAGAGGAAAGCCCCGAGATTTGGGCTTAGAATTATTTGGAACCCCCCACCAACCACAGAGGGATTACTAACAAATGGTATTTACATAACAATTTTTGGAAAGTATATATTTAATCTGCATTATTTTTCAGATTTAAAAAATCAGCATCAGGTTCATGTAAAAAAAAAAAAAAAAATTTTACAAAACCTACTGTTCATAATTGTTATCAACTGATATTTCACATTACTACAACTTTGTCAAATAGATCAAAAAAAAATTTACGGAATTATTGAATATTCCCCTTAAATTATACTAAATTATTTACACAAGCAAGAAAAAAAAATAGTAAGTCTGCTGAAATCATTTTTATTATATCTTATAAATTCTGTATAACTACCCAACAAACTTTTATGTTTGTAGAACTAGTATTTGGGTATATAATGGACTCTCCCGTCAGTTTATAAGGATCTGACAGCTTAGTTGATTCAGTTATGAAATTTTGTGCAATAATCTTAAGTGGCACTTAAGACCCGCAAGTGATTTACAAAGAAGGCCACATATGGAGCAAGAGTGAGCATGATGAGATGAGATCAGTTAGATTGGCTGGCCTTTTAGATTTTGCTTTTCTTGATGATTCGGACAAGCAGATTGAAAACTGCTGAGTGTGTGTGTGTATATATATATATATATATATATATATATATATATATATATATATATATATATATATATATACACACACACAAATGAATGGAACTATTTAATTAAAAAAGCTTTTAATTGCTCTTATTTATAAGATATATTAATGACACTATTGTCTTAAAAAATTTTACCCCATGATATGAATTTTTACAAGAATTGTAAAACTGATATAAAAAAGGGACACTCACATCATTTTCTTCAATTATGTTTTACAGATAAAGTATCTCTAGAACATTAGACCTTTCATCAGACTATCAAGACAGATACTGTCAGGTTAAAAAAAAATGAATTTCTGCAATGTTTTAAACTTAAATATTTGTTTCAAATCATTAATTATACTTTAAATCATCTTAAAATATACTTTTCTGATAATTTATTTTTTTAATAAAGAATGTGATGAAAGGGTACTACTCAGCTATTTTAGTCAAAAACAAAAAATTCCAAACAATTTAATTTAGTTTTTGAAATACAACAGAGTATTTTCATAATTGGAAATATTAAATTTAATCTATTAGCTTAAAATTAAAACTAAAAATGGAAAATCTTTCCGGAAGCTTTTATTTTAAACCTTAAGCATCATGCTTTTTGTGAAGGTCTCTACATAAAATAGATATCTTGCAAAAAAAATGTTTATACAGAAATGTTATAGAGGTAAGAGAAACTGTATAACTTTTTTTGTTCATTTAGCTAATCAATTCAAAAATGAACAAAACCTTAGTGATAATTCCTGAAACCTTTTATATGGTTGTTAGAAGAGTTTAATCATGAAAAATAAGCAAAACTGGCATGGTAACTATGCAAAATATTGCAATTATATTGAAGAAAGTTTAATGACTTTTAATGGATTTCTTTCATGTGATTTGAAGAAGTTTTATTTTATTTTTTATTTTTTTCTTTCAAATATCAGTCAACATTGTCCGTGCGGATTTAGGCAAAATCTCACTGGGCTGAAATGTATTTTCTTTCTGAATAATCTTCAAAGGTTGTTGCCATAATCTCACAACAGAAAAGACAATTATTTTAGGATTGAATTAGTAACAGAGATTGAGAATTTGGTAAAAAGCATAATTATTTTACTGTGAAATAACAAGATAGTGTTCAAAAACTGTTTAATATGTGTTAGCCAATTGAAATTTACTAAATTTAGTTTGGCAAAAGGCCAAAGGGACAGATTTATACATTTTTTTTTTTTTTTTTTTTTTTGCACAGAGAAATATCAGTATTTGTCTTTGTTCAAAAATAAATAGTTTTGGTTTTTCACTAGGTGTTGTTAATCTGTTGAAATAAGTGATAAGAGAAATAAATCATATGATCACTCACCTGTAATGAAGTCATATGCAATAAGGGTCTTAGAAGCTACTGGAAAGAGTTCATGTCTCTGTAGAAGTGATAAACATTAGCAGATAAGCCAAGTATTAAAAGAAAAAAAGTGTATCAAGTGTCAGAGAGAAAGAGGAGATATTATATTAATAGCACAAGTACCCAATTCCATTTGATATTGAAAATCTGCTTGTAGTAGTGATTGGCATGTTTGTTTACCAAATCCTTGAAAACTACTTATGAATGCCGATTGCTTTAATCATTAAACAGACTTTTGTTTCTACAGTGTCTGAGTATGCCAAACCAGTTACTAATAAACTAAATTGTATGGAAGTAAACATTAAACAGTGATTTTCTATAATATCAATAGCAAAATATTTAAGTTCACAGAATTTGAAGCACCATTTTACAAATGGCAGCGACCATTAAATTAAGGCTAGCAATATAAGGGAAGTAACTTTGCAAGTGCTTTTTAGATAATGATCAACACTAAAAATCGGCAGTTTTTTTTTTCCTAATTAGGATCGTCGTGATAGTAACTTTATTCATTTTTCAATCAAAACTTAAAGTTCCAATAAAATCTCTTTATCAAGTAAACCATTGATAGCACTTTTTATTAGAATTAAATTCTCATTGTAAAAATTAAATAAATGAAAAAGAAAAAAAAAGCAATTTTGACTTAAAAAGATATCCATTTACCGTATGCTTCCTGATATCTCAGTGTAGTGTTTGTATTGTTTAGGTAAAAAATTTCTTGCGGCTCAATTTAGCTCTCCATATATAAACATTAAAATGATAGAACAGCTGCTCTGATGGAACTGACACGAATATATTTTCAAACATGTGAGACTATTTTAATGTTAATGAATATAAATATTCTCTTCAGTAGGCAAGAGCAATTTCAACCAGAATACACACTGATATATAATACTAAATCATTAGCTTCTCTCTCTCTTTAAGTATTATGACCCTTTGAGATGTAAGTGACATTAGCTCTCCACAGCCACTTTTATTTAATATACATAAACCCTGCATTCCTATGACTTTTTCTTGGAAAAATATAATGTGGTTTCCAGTTGCCATCTCCAGTTTTTAATTCAGTTATCCTTCTCCTAGACTGGTTACCAACCAAGACTATATGACCCAGTTTCCCCAAGAATGTGAGTGAAAAATGTAACATTGAACTTGCCCTGCTGATTCTATTCCTTATACTGTAAATCAACCAGCATACCCAACCTCCACATACACACAAAATTAGAAATACCTGTCTGTTTTTAGTAGTCCCAGTACAATTCAAAATTTGATCTCTATTATATGAAATATTTTTCTAGGAAGATAAATCCTGAATAAAAAACAAAAACACGTCACATTGACCTAAAGTGTCCAATAGATTTAATTTCTCCTCTGACTCTTGTGGAAACAGAGATGCTATAAATAAAGATCCAGACGTGATCTTTTGATTTAAAGCCTTTCAGGAAAAATTCATTGGAAACACAAAGAGAAATCCAAGACAACTGATTCTAAGCTGAAATCAGTGACTTTATTCATATCATTTTTTTTTGTTTTTTTTTTTCTAATCAAAGTCTAAGATAGATGACAACTTTACAAATCTTTTTTGCACTCTGAAGAATCTATCCACCTGTAGGGGTCAAGAAAAAGGAAGGCACCGAGCCACTGTGTGATCAACTCCGCACCAAACATCCAACACTTCAGAAGGAACAGACACCTAAAAATATATATGTGTATATAAAAAAAAATTCTTTAGAACATAGCAGAAAAATAAAATGAACAAATATTTCACGAAACTCTTAACATTAGATTTTTAGATAGAGCATTTCATATAAGAATATATATAGATATAAATATTGGATAGGATAAGGAACAAATAGGAAACATAATTTAACACATTTCACTTTTATTTAAGCTTCATCATATGAAAGAGAAAGTTTTGGTAATTTTTTTTTTTTTTTTAGTTCTGCATTTGCTTGTACATTTTGGGGGTTTACTTAACCTATAAAAAACAAATACAAAACTAAAAAAAAAAATACCAAAACATTCCCTTCCATAATTAATTTTGAATAAAACTTAAATAAAAGTGCAAGAGGTTATATTATAAATGTTTCCAATTTGTTCCTTATCCTATCATTCTGTCAGATTCTAACCCATATATATATATATATATATACATAACTTCATAGAACAAATCTACTATTTTCAGGTAACTTCATAATACCATCCCCACCCAGAATTTCATCTTTCTCAACAAAAATTTACCCCAGGTATCTTTTGAAGAATTCCAGGAAATTGTTTGTTTTTTTTTTTGTTTTGTTTTTAAAGACAGTTCTCTAAATGGTAATGCAAAGATCACAATCTGTTGAATACAACAAATAAGTGAAAACTTCCCAGCCAAGTTTTGACCTGTTCTCCAAAGAAACAGGCAATCTCTTTCTTTGCACAGAGACCAGCTTTTCATATGGTTGGTGGTGGTTCACTTCAATAGACACTTATGTTGGAGTGAACAGACGTGCTTTTTCAATGTCATATTTTTAAAAAACAGAAGTCTTTAATTATCCATTTTTTATTCTTATATTTTTCTTTGTTTATTATATCATAATTTTGTTATATTATTATGCATTTACAATATTTAATTGTTAAGATACATCATTTTTACTAAGTTGATGCATTCATCGATTGTTTTTTTTAAAGTAAGTGTTTTAGCAAGTTTACTTACTTTATTAAGAATGTCTATTATCACTAGAAATTGTTATATTAGGAACATTTATTGTATTGTTAAATTAATTATACACTGGCATGAATAACTCTATATTTAAGCATAACATTTCTTTTTTATTATGAAAGAGGACATAATTTTTCAAGCTGTAGGAAATCCATTTTGAGTTGTAATGTTTGTTTTTGTTTATTATTGACTATTGGTTCTGTATTGTTAATTTCTTTACCTATCATTTATCATTCAAATGTTTCTAACATTTGCCAATAATTTTATTCTGTTATCCGTTTATTTGATTGAAGTAACAACATTTTTTGATGGATGAGGACATATTTTCAAATTTGTAGGAAAAGCATTGGAGTCATAATATTTAAAAAATTTTGTTCAGTAATGAATTTCTTCTTTTATTATTTATCTCTCAAATATTTATTTTTTTTTAGCAACAATAAAAATGTTCTCATATAATGATAATTTTATACTTTTATTAAGTTTTATTCTTTTCCTATTTATTGATTTGTTTCTATTATCGTCATTAATGTAATGTTAAGTCAAAGTCGTACAATTGATAACAAACTGTTCACTCCAACATCCAGTGTAAAACATATGTGGTCATTCTTTCTTATGGTAGAGGGCTTACTTGTCCCAGTGATCCCAAGAGCAAAGCACTGGAGTTCCAACTCCTGTAGGGTCACCCATAGCAGTGAGGTTGAAGAGGAAGGACCAGACTGGATGCAACCAACCCCACAAAGACCCCAATGGCAGAATAGGCTAAGATCTACACAATCTCAATGACCAAATCAGTGGAAGAGGGCAGTGCCAATCAGGCTGTCGTAATCAAGGCAAACCTTGACAGATCAAGCATCCGACAACCCAATGCAACCAAGTTTACCAGATCTTGCCTGTCTCAATCCCCTTTGAGCTGTGAGAGGGGCACTTCTAGCCAAGTGTGTGGATTTCTCCTTCATGCAGTGTTGTCCACCAAAATCAAATTCATGCGAATGGCCATGTCAAACTCATTGATATACAGCCATCTCTGCCACCAGAGCAGAGAATGGGAATAGGGAGAAAGGAAGACGATCCTGACGAGCCAGTGCTGACAACTTCAATAGCAACCTAATTTCTTGCATTTCAGTCACACTTTAAAAACGTTAATTATTTTTCTTTTCTTTGATGTTAAAAATCAATAAATAGAAAAATTAAAAAGAATGCCATAATGTATAAGGTGTTACACATAACATTAAACATTCCCAATGCCACCTAACAAAAAACACTGAAAAAAAAAAAAAAAAATTCCTCTTTATATCTTATAAATACTTGATTGGTCTCAAGTCATGTAAATGTGGTGGCCACACCATTATAGAGACTTCCACCCACATTCACCAAAATTGAGCCCAATTAAGCATTTATGAGATGTAGTGGAGAGACCTATTCAAATGCAAGATCCTGCACATACAAATATCAGTGAATTGTCAACAGTCAAAACAGAAAGCTCAACATCTCCCAAAAGATATTACGATGCAACATAAAGTTTCTGAACTTTACCAAACTAGAGGAATTCCTAGACAGGGCTGGACTTTCACCTGCTGAGGCCCTAAACTATATGAAATTTGAGGCCCATCTCTAAAAAACATTTGGGTAAAAAAATTAAAAATAATTATACATGATTATTATATATTAATGATTATAGATAATTTTTGATGATTTAGTGTTAAAGAATAAAAACTAATGTTAGAATAAAAATATATTTTTAAAAAAATGAGGACCCCTAATCTATATCTTATAGTCCAGCACTGCTCATAGATGGCACTAGGCACTTATCCTTTTGGCATGTCAGTATCTCATCCTAAAGGAAATCCAACACAACTTCTAGTACCAAAGTGACACAAGTAAAATATATAACAAGGGAGTATCTGTTTTATAAGGTTGTCAATTAAAATGTTATTATATCTCATTATTCACTTGTCATGCACAGTAAAAGCAATTAGTTACATGAAAGAAAAATAAATTAGATTTCAGTTTTTCCTGATAAGTTTGACCAAGCCAGTATTTACCTTAATATTTGCCATTCATTTTTATCAGTTTTGTACTGATGGCAAAACAATCAAATCTCCAATCTAAATTGTCCATTTAAAATACTACATTAGAAATAATATTTAGTTTAAATACAGGAGTCATAAAAATGACTTCAAAGGGCCACACATTTTGGTTTACACATTTTTCCATTACCCAAGGGACTGTTGCCAGAGAGAAGGAAGAACTAGCCCTTCAGGCACGCATGTCCATTTAAACTTCATTCAAATTGTGTGCGTATGTACATATGTATCTCTTAATTCAATGAGAGACCTAAAAATATTTCTACCAAAAAATAAATAAATAAAAAATAATTTTATGTATTAAGGAATAATTTTCGAATATTCAATAAAATCTTATATTTATCTAATTATTTTAGGGTTTAAAAAAATTAACTTTTTTTCATATCTCCAACTTTATCACTTTATTGCTCAGCACAGGGTAGGGATTGTCTAGACTGAGTGAGAGGGAAAATGTATTCCAAGGTCTTATTTCAAACTCAGTGAAATTGTGTGTGCATGTATACATTAACCCTTTAGCATTCAGCACTCTCAAAACCAGCTCCATAAATATCAGCTCTAAAAGTCTCACTGTTTGCGAGACTACCTGCATTATTTGCAATATTTATGGCGGAGCATACATGGGGCGGGTTACAGTGGATTGAACACTGGGAGCTGATATTTACAGGGCAGGTTTGGGCGTGTTGAATGTTAGAGGGTTAAAATGGCACAAGCTCATGTAAAGCATAAACATTACATATGCACAGGCAGTCACATGCAGACAGTGAGTGACAGACACAAAATCAGCTTTTCTTTTATAATTATAGATTAAAGCTTGATTCTTAAATATCATTGTCAAATTTTTGTGTTATTTGAAAATACATTGCTAGACAAACATGTATGGACAGAATAGCTTACATCTGATGACAAATGAAAAATAAATGGATTGTATAATTTGCAGACATCATTTTTTCCCCTGGCTACCAATCACAATCAAGTTACTCCTCAAATGTTTATCTCTCACTCTCTTGAAAGACAATGAATAAAAACTTTACTTACCCGCCAGGGGAAGAATTGATCTTTATGGTGAGCAAAACCTAAATTGCCAAATTTATTTTTGCCCCACATGTACAAATCACCATGATCTGGAAAAAAAAAAAAGTGCAAATATTTAATTTGTTTTTTTTTTTTTAATATTAATCACTTGGTTTTAAAAAATTACAATTAAATTGCAGAATTAGCTTAGTTTCTTAAAAGTCATAAGATTTTTAATGTTTCTTTTTTTAATCAGTGAAAAACTGGATGCTTTTATGAATTTTATTGAAGCTACAGCTGACAAATGGTATCCTTAATGAATGAAAACTATCACTTTTTGTTTGTCACAGGCTTATATGGTTTGGGAATATAAATATGTTATAAAGAGAAACTAATGTAATAGACACATTCATTGTAATGCCATATAAAATGTACATCAAGGACAATCCCAATTTGACAAAAGCTTTATTTAAATAAATTAAATTTTTTATTTAAATGTAATGAAAATTAAAATCTTTTCAAAGACACAAAAGTATTATTAAACTTTAAAACTCAAACATTTCCAAAAGGTGTTTAATTCATACACTTGTGCACCCATGCAATCAAAATTGACAGCAAGAAGGACTATTATAAGTAATATGTCTTATATTGGTAAGTAATTTTCATTTATTCCAAGTGCAGTTTTTTATTTTAAAATAGCTTATTGTTAATGTTAATAATTGAGCAGTGTACAATTTATAAACACCTCAGGAAAGATATCCGTATTTTATCCTCATTGTGTGCACGTACGCACATACGTGTGCACACACATAATTTTGTACTAGATATGCCAACAGTATTCAATACACAGACAAATGGGAGATTTGTAGATGTCTAAGATGGACTCTGACAAGAAAAACCTTCTGGTATGACACAATAAACCAACTTTCCTTCCAGTAGATATAAAAATTTGATTCCAATGTTAAGACAATTGAATATAATAAAAATTAGGAATTAATAGATTTCAATTAAATCATTGCTTCTGGTTTGTTTTTTTTTCTTTTTAGCAGAATCAACCATCAGCTCAGATTGAAAAGGATTTTACCAACTCATAAAATTCATTGGAAATAAAGAAATCAATGTTAAGTATAATACAAATTAAACAATCCAACTTAACACTCTGCATCATTTATACATATTACTTCCCCTTTTACTGTATATGGAATCCCCCTCAAAATATAGTGTTTTATATATTAGTTCTATATATTTGAAATTGCAGTATCCTGGCTCTCAATTTCAGTCAAGACTGTTTTAGGTGTTGCCATAGAAGGATATAATTACACAACCAAGAAATTCAAATTTAACATTGGTAGAACTAACAATTTGTTTGGTGAAAATAGTCACCTACAGAATGCTGAAAAGGTTAATATTGATTTCCTTATTTCACAATAAATTCAGCTGAAACTGTCTAAAATATTGTGATGAAGTCTATAACAAAACATATAAGCAAAATGAATTCATTTTTCTCTGCATTATTTAATGTCAATTTATATGCACACTTACTTGTAATAGCTGCAAAGTGGTAAACACCACATTTCAGATTAACAACTTTCTTTCCAACATCAATTTCATTTGCTCCAAATAATGGTGAAGGTAATTTTGTTGGGGTTGTGGTTGCCTGCACATTGGGTCCCAAACCCAGAATACCATAACCCCACGTAAAAACTTCACCACTTTCTGTGGAAGAGAAGAAAAAATAGACTTGATTTTTAACAGAAATGCCAACATTATAAATTTCATTTTACATTATTAATGGTTCATACCGAAAAAGACAAATTCATATCTTCTATTCTTTACAATAATGATCATATTTGTCTTCAAGTAACTTGTAATTTAAAGCCTTAGTTTTCATTACCAAAATACTTGTCTACATCTTTTTACTCTCAAATTAAAAATGCTAGACTTCAAATTGACAAAAGCTGTATATTAAATTGAGATTTTATTAGTGCCTAAAAATACAGTATTAGTTTACAAACAAATTAATGATCAATATAATTGCAGACAGATAATTAGAAATTGAACAGTTCCCACATTGTCACACATTTGGAAATCTTGTGTCATTTTGGGGGAAAAATATTTCTGTACATGATTATATATTTACATGCTCAGTGCTATGGGAATTATAGACATCTGGTTATCAATTGCTTCTTTGAGGTAGCATAAACGGTACTTAGACTAACTCCTGTTGGAGGTGAAGTCATTATAGTTTCAAATGTTTCAGCCATCCAGCATTTCATAACCTTCACAACACACCAGCATTCCTTGACTGGATTTAGAAATTCAGCATTTTTTATTTTTTAATTTGAAGTTGATTCTTTTTTTTTTTTCAATTAAAGTTGATCCTTTTTCATTGAAGTTGAGCCTTTCTTTTTTTCATTTGAAGATAAATCTTTCTTTTTTTTTTTTTTTTTTCCATTTGAAGTCGATTTTTTTTTATTTATAATATGGAAATTCTTCTGTGTTTCTGGAGAAGCCATGTTTAGGGGGGGTGGTCAGATTCATTTACTATGTCCCAAGTGAGGACATATTCCATGAACTGGAAACAGCAAGTCTAAATTGAGGACAGCTAGCTGGAGATTTCTATATTTGGGGATATATTCCCAAATGGAAACCTCACTATGTGCTTATAAGCTGTTGTGGGGAAACAAATTTAGCCTAAGTACAGGCTTCTTGGCTTGTACCAAACAACCTCATTTAGCTCCTGGAAACCGAATGCTTGAGCAACCACTTTTATCACTGTATAAAGTGACATCACTAAGCAGCCATTATACAACCCACATGACTATCATGTCCCAAAAGGAGATAATTGCCTTTTGTATCCCATTTATACAAAAGACGAAATGGTAGATGGCCAAAACATGTAGCATATTCTGCCTTACACAAAGTGTCACAGACAACCTTTCATAACCTGACGAGATACAAAGCTGCTATCAATAATTTGTTATAACTACAATAGAATGAACAAGTTTCATCAAATAATTAAAATTAAGATAATTATTTTTTTTATGCAGCCACAAAATTTAGTGTTTGTTTAGAAGTAGATACAAAAGACTATATCTTTGATTTTAGGATTTCTCAATCTAGGCCGGTTCTTATTAATTTCATTGTTTAAGAAAATAGCGCGACTCAAACATGTGCAACCACTTAAAGTAACATTTACAATAAGAAATATATATATATTGATTTCCTAAGTGTAGTTTAGATGTGGTACATGTGCAAAGATATGAAGCAGCCAGTTAGGATTAAACTTATTACTCAATTGCAATTGATCTAGCAAGACACCATTATACCATATATATATATATATATATATATAATAAAAAATTATTCTGTTTCTTACTAACAACTTATGTTTGTGGTGTTGCACATGAAACTGCAAGAAGTGGGAAAAATTTTGGAAAGCATTAAAGTATATATATATATATTACTATGAAACTGAAGAATATATGAATCGCTCTTAACAATAGGATGCAATTGTTTTATAGTCAACAAAGTATATTTAATAAATAAATTAACTTACCATTAAGAAATCCACAGATGGAACCTCCTGAAGCAACTTTAATAATTTTTCCACAAGAAGCAGATATTGGAATGTTTTTGGGGACATTTACTTGGGTGTGGTCTGTGATGAGGGCCAACTGGTTGTATTCAGAATTGCCCCAACCAAATACATCACCCTTATCTAAAATGAGAAGACGACTAAGTATACAATTCCAAACAAGCAAAAATGTTAAGGCATTTGATAATTGTGTTCTTCAGAAAGGAGAATTGGTTAGCAACTTGAAAAAATATCAGAGGCAAATAAAGTTAAAGGTCCTGTTACAACAGCTTAAATTTCAATCTAAGGACATATATGAATTCAGTAAGTGGGGAGGGGAGACATTAACAACTTTAGTGTTATTTAATGTTGCGATTTGTTTAATCTGGGATATTTTGGTTTTGGTTTTTAGATTGAGTTAATTTAAAATTTTTGTATTGATAGGTATAGGTTGTACAAGAGTCAACATTTCTCATGATATTTCCCCCTCCTCCTCGGGACAAGCCCCTTTTCTTTGACATTCCAAGGGGTAATAAACTATACAAATCAGGGATGTTCAACTCCTTGAGGTATCTGATATATGCACATACCTGGTTAGATAGTTGTGCATTTCCCACTGGTGCCAGAAGTTAGAGTTCAAACCAAAGAAAAAGAAAAAAAAAAAGATACGATGTAAAAAAACGGTTTGCATTCTTATTTCTTGGCATGGCATTTTTTTTTCTTTCATAGTGTTACCTTGTCAATATGCAGCATACTCTTCTCCAGCTTTCAGTAAACATCGACGAGATCAAGAATTGAAATGCAACATGGGATGTTCATTGGCAGCTCTTGGGCAAAGGGTTGCGTTATGTTTACAAAATCAATTGGTATGAAATAATTACAACTTATAAAAAAATTTTAAAAAAGCGCTCAGCATATATAAAGACAAATCAATTAAGAGAAACTTTATAGCAACTTGTTAGCTAGTAAACTTTCACCTTTCAGATTATCACATGGCAAGTGTCAGAACATTTACAGACTCATGAAGCGACAGATGTGGTTCTACAGAAGGATGCTGAGAATACCATGGACAGAGTATGTGAGCAACAAGGACGTTTTAAAGAACATGGGAACAAAAAGAACACTTGCACTTAAAATCAGAAAGAGTTGAAATATTGAGAACACATAATGAGGAAGGAGGGTTTGGAGAAGTTGACACTCACAGGGCATAGTGAAGTCAAAAGAGCAGAGCAGAACAGGAACTGGGAGAAATAGTAAGGAGATAAACATTACTAATAGAGGCTACAAAAGGCTGGAAGTTTTAAAGAGCCATGATCACCCACATCCTGAAGGAACATGGCACATAAAAACTGGTCATACTAAAATTCATCATTCACATAAACACAAATGACCAATGTTAAGAGAAATTAATCTCACCAAAAAGGAGACTTCCTGATGTTATCGGAGTGGAGAGGGTCAATCCCAGTGTGTGGCACCTTTGGAAAGTGCCTGGAAACCATACAAAGGGTTGACCCAAGTCTTGTGAGTGAAATTGGGTAGACGGGACCCTTGATAGCTGTGCTAGCACAAAGTCACAAGTCGTCATGACCAAGGGCTTGAGCATGTTGGCCTCGTAAACATTGTTGATCATGCTAGATAACACGCATCTTTTCAGAAACTGCGACTAAGGTCTGGTCAGCATAGTTACAGTATAAAACACAGAGCAGGCATCTGCAATAGGAATTGGCTACCAAATGGGTATCCTCAAATACAAGTGTCTAGCTATATATATATATATATATATATATATATATATATATATATATATATATATATATATATATATTTTATTTATTCTTTGATAAAAGGGGTGAGTAACTTACTGTCAAAGCCAATCATTAGCTTGTAACTAACATGTTCAGGAGTGTAATAATCATTGCTATTCAATAAACCAGTGTTTCTCAACTGGTGTGACCAAGCACACTAACACACACTAAAAGGTAGCCATGTGCGTCTCAAATTACCAGAAGAGTAATTTATGAATTATTTTTAGATTTAAAAAAATCTTTACTTTTTTTAACAACTCTGGAAGGTTATCCAAGTTATTTCTTTTTATCTATAAACACTGAACAATATGATTGGATTAACAGCCTTTTCATTGACATTCCAAGTGATGACATTGGCTTATCGTTAACAGAAGAGGAACTGGTCAATATATCTGTTGATTGTGGCTTACATATCATGCATAAAGAGGTGTCCATTGATCAATTTTGAATTTCCATGAAAGAAGAATATTTTTCAATAGCCCGTAAAGCATTGAATATTTTATTACAATTTTCCAAATCATGTGAATTAAGATTTTTTGCACTTACCAATATTAAATGCAAAAATTAGATCAAATATTAAATGCATTGATGAGGAAATGAGAGTATATTTATGAGATGTAAGGCCTAACATTCAAAACATTGCCAGAGCTTATCAAACACGGGTTTCACACAAGCATACTTAAATATACAATGTCTTAAAAATAAGTGCTTATTTCAGGTGTCTTCTTTATTATTTTTCTATTTTCAAATTTTATGACTTGACTAAATTTTCCTTATTAAAATTTAAAGTGTGCTCTAGAGTTTTTAGTTATTCTACAAGTGTACCCTGGAGTAAAACAAACAAAAAAAAGGGTTAAGAAACACTGCACTAGGCAGATGTTATGTTTCGCATCATCTCTGGCTTCAATTATTCAAGCCTCAACACCACAACAATGCACAATTTCTTTATCTTATCTCGCTTTATAAGTGACAGTAATTGTACTATCAATTCTAGGTGGAAGGAAATGACCAGATGCTGACTCTTGGCTAAGATTTCATCACCACATGCCTCCCACACCTAGAAATCTGGGTGTGGGAGGCATGTTGACCCTTCAGATTCTTGTAGGCATGTACTTTCACATTTTTGGTCTTACATCAAACTTTAATAAAGGCAATCCATCACTGTCAGTAGTTTATGCTCATGGTGTCTTCTGACCAGTAGTTTGCTATTCTGGGCCATCCTATGTATTCGATAACAATTATCAATATTTATGATCATTCATGAAAAACAAAAAAAAAAAGTTGGAAAATAATGTTGTAGATGAGACAAATTCACCTGACAGTGCAAGCACACAATCACCGGAACAAGCAATCTGGACAATCTTTTCTCCTTCAATTGCCCCTTTCACTTGAGATGCTTGACCAATACTTTGATAATGACCCAAGCCTGTGTAGAAATAAAATAACATTGAATTAAAAAAAAAAAAATAAATAAGAAAAAAATAAAGAGAAAAATCCATCTAAAAGATAACAAAATGGAGGAATAAAAAACAGAAAAGTTTCAAATTCACCAATTTCACAATGAGTACAAAGAGCTGAAAAAGAAAATTCTTATTCTATGTTTATATCATGGGTAGGATTACATACATCAGCACTTTCATTCAAGCTAATACTCACACACACACACTTTAAGAAAATAATGAACTTCATTTATCCATAGTCTTACATTATTTATTATTACTATATGTTATATTTAGTGGATACAAGGGCTATACCTGTGTTCCCCTACATAAGGGAGACACAGATTCAAAACTTGTTGAAGGGCATATTTCCTTGTAAAACACAGGTCGAAATAAAAAAAAAAAAAAAGAGAGAGAGATGTCTACTCAAACATGTATAACTTCTAAAAATAACATCTACAGTAATTATATTTTATTATATATATATATATATATATATATATATATACACACACACACACACACACACACATACATATATACACACACAAGCCTGTTTTGCTGTATAACAGCTCATCAGTGTGACTAGACATCCAACTGCTTCAAGCTGGGATTGAAACTCAACTAATTTGGCATCAGTCAGAGACTACCCCTTTGTAGCCTCTGTCTATTATCAAACTTCTCCTAGGGTTTTGGAGATAGAACCCCCCCCCCCATAACCATATATATTCTGAAACTACATTACTCAGGGTACTTGGAGATAAGTATATTTCACTTTGATCAACCCCTTCATCACCACCAAATTATTTTTCCCTTTGATATAAATTAAATTTAAATTTGAACAAGGAAATGACTCCTATACAAAATATAGAAGGAAAAAGCCAGAAATGATAACAAAATTAAAAATCAATCATCATTTTTTTTTTTCAAAGAAAAAAAAGAAAAAAAGTGTGACAAAATAGTGGGTGATGAGAATGAACACAGTACTTATGATATGTGCGTACAGTATTCTGAATAAAATAATTAATTATATTATCTTATCTTCCAGTGATATAACTTTATGCTTAGCATTAGCACTGGGACTTTTCCTCGGAGGTGACAAAAATTTATTCTAAATTACAACTGAAATATAATTGAAAGAACGTCAATGGCAGAGCACAGATGTAAACCAGTGTGAATTCAAAATCGGTGTTGGAGAGGAAAAAATGGACAAGTGCTGCCTGTCAGCAGGAATTTCAAATATGAACATCTGCTGAACATACTTTATTATACTAATTGTTTTGCTTTTGATGATTCTAGGATATATATATATATATATATATATATATATATATATTTATTAAAGACATTTTATGTTTAACGTTGTTATTTTATAGATACAAGTATTTAAGCAAATGCTCTGTTTATGATAAACAGTATTAAATAACATTTACCGGCCTGAATGTCCGAGAAATTTTCATAGAAAATATTCGTTCATTGACAGGAAAATTTCTCGGACATTCAGGCCGGTAAATATTATTTAATACTGTTTATCATAAACAGAGCATTTGCTTAAATACTTGTATCTATAAAATAACAACGTTAAACATAAAATGTCTTTAATAAATAAATTGTCGGACGTTGTCCATTTCTTAACATATATATATATATATATATATATATATATATATATATATATATATATAGTAAACATAATATTATTTTTAAATTTATTTGAATATAATTTTGTGTGTTTATTGATATTTTAGTGTTTTGATGTTTCCAATATTTTTAACAGCTAACGTAAACTCAAGTAAAATGACCTAAGGCAAGTTTTATTTTTCCACATAATATTTAAGAAAAACCAATGTATCTTCAAAAATTACTTAAGTCAAAACAACTTAAGTCAAGGTATCACTGTACTTTGATTTTACCTGTTTTATCCAAATTGTTAAAAAATGAGTTAATTTATTATGTATAGGTGCAGGTTTTTATTTCATGTTGTAATATTAAGAACCCACTCAACCCAAACAAATCAAATTAAAAGCAACTATGACAAAATTCACCTTTCTCATAATAAAGTAAGAATATATTTTGCAGTTTAAGTTTGCATTGTGATTGAGACAATTGTGTATTGAGACATTTTCTGGTGTCACTGACCTGTGTTTGAGCCCAGGTAAAAAGGTAAAAAAAAACAAAATTTCAAAAGCTAATTTTCAATACACTTGTAAGATTGGAGCAACACAATCCTCCTAACTTCCATTTGGATTCATGCTTAGCAAATAAAATATACTTTGTAATCAATAAAGAAAAATTAAAAGAATGTAAATTACAAATTAACTTTTCAGGAAAATGTGAACAAAATCTTATATTTACAATCAGAAAGAGATGACTGAAATTTCAGGTGCACATAATGAGGAAAAAGAGCTTGGTGAATTTAACACTCAATACATTGCAGGAAAGAAGGGCAGATGGAAAAAGTTAATAACCTACTTAGTGAGTTACCTTTTTATTTTTTTTTTTATTTATTTATTTTTAGTAATGTTCACCCAATACAAGGCTCAAGAGCTACTGAAGGTAGAGGGTCACTGAATGAGTTATGTGATGAGTTTATATAAATGAATAGTAGAGTCAATTAGTAGGAAAATGCTACGGTTTGTGAAGCGCTATGATTACTCACATTTTGAGGGGATATGGCACATCAAAGAAGAAATAACAAATATTTTTTATTGGATTCATGCAACTTTGAATTATCAAAATATTAAATAAACTTACCAGTCTGCCCATCTGAACCCAGACCACAGCTGTAAACAGTTCCAGTTTTGGTAAGGAAAAGTGTATGGTCTTGTCCACAGATAACCTATATGTAGAAAGCAATAAAACAACACACAGATGAGTTTTTAACAGAGATAAGCAGAAAATGTAAAGAAAACAAAAATGATGGTTAAATTTGTGAGTTTGGCATGGGAGGAGGTTAATTTCACACAAAGACCTTTCACTACTATATTGCTGTTACTATGGCAAACTGTTGTAGCATACCTATGGGCGATAATGGGTATGTCCCTATTCACATAAATACAGTAGTAAATACTGCATGTTGGTGTGCAGCTGTGCTGGTCAAAATCTTTGCCCCTGAGCAGAGATGATCCCCAGACAAGGTTATGTTGAAGGGCAGAGTCTCGTCTCAGGAAACAGCTACCCAACCCCATTTTATACAGAGTCTACATGGAATTTTTGGCTGAGCCTACATGCTCGAATACCCCACATTAAATTTGGCCGTGTGCCACATCTGTCCATGTGGGGCAGTTGATAGATATCCTGCAGTTGGAGATTCATTGTGGAATTCACTTGACTCACTTCTAGCAGTTGACTACTTCTACGCACCGCTGGCAAATCTTATATGTGTTGTTCTTGTCCTAAGTATTATCATTCATTACCAACTTTCGTTTGATTATTCTATTCAGTAACCTTCCCTAGGTTATATCAGAGACATTCAGAGAAGTTACATTCCTTGGTGCCACAAGCTTGTACCTTTGCAGCTAGGACCTGCCATGCCATATTCACAGTGGCAAACTAACCCCATCCCTTTCAAGTTCAGCAAATTCTACTCAAACAGCTTTTCTCCAGAATTGTTATTGTGTGGAACAAACTCCCAAGAGAATGCTTCCCTACAACTACAGTCTTGGTTTATTTAATTCTAGATTCAACCAATATCTATCCTACTCATTCTCAGAATACTCTCTTACTTCTCCCTCACAGTACAATATCACTCAGTAACCATCCTCATAATAAGCACCTCTTACTCTCTGCTTGTATGCCAACTTCATTTTGTAACCCTCTACTTTGAGTGGCACTTGGGCCTTGTATTGGATAAACAATAGTAAAAAAAAAAAAAAAATCACAAAGTTGGCAGTAAACAACCAGTGGATGTGAAACTACATTTATGACAGCCAGAACCTGCTTCTGTACATAAACTACTTGACCTCCAGGAAAATTGTCAAATAGATCCTTTATTTGTACTGGTGGGTGTCAATGGCTACTATGGTGAGATGGAAGTTGACACAGTAAAAGCCATATCAAATTTGATAACCTGTGGGTGTACAAACCTGATAAGCCAAAACTCAAACCCATAAAACAGAAACTATTGCTACAAAACACATAGGCTAATCCAAAATGGCAAACCCTACCATATTTATCAGTACTCTGACAACCTGATCTAAGTGCGGGTAGTTCAAACCACATGAGCATGAAATCCTAGCAGTGATCTAGATCCTCTTTTTTAAGTTTTAATATAAAACTGAAAAACATGAAAAGACAGCCAGTAAGATTGCTAGAATAGGAGAGTGAATATGTCTTGCCACTCCCAATCTGATAAGCCGAAAATAAACTAATCAATTGATCATTGACAACATGTTTGGGGAAGTTATTGTTATGTTTCTGTTGCCTAGTTCTTTACAATATAATATGTGTTCAAAGAAGATATAATTTTGTCATGGAAATCGTGTTTTTCATAATGTTGTATTTGTTGTAGTTGAGAAGACAAGTTTCTGCCTGTGCATTTATTTATGTGCTGAAGTGGTAAAATCATGACTGTCAGGGTTGACTAAAAAGTCACAGAAAAAGATTTGATTATTAAAAAGTGAAGGACAGAATTATTCTAAAAAAGATTTCTATTTTGTCTCTTTTTTTGATAGTATGAACATATTGTCACTATAACAACCATATATGGAGGGTTTGGTGAAATTATCAAAGACTTTCTACATGCATCAAAAATGAACAGATCATTAACTTATTCAATCGTAAAAAGATGCACCCTTTTATGAACAGGATGAAAAAGCCATAGCAAATATAATTTGTCAGTCCCCAACAAACACTTTTAGATTTGTCATTTGCTATTTAAAAAAGTTCAAAACATCTAATCTAACGAAGAAACAAAATTTCAAAGAAAAAAAAAATCAATCAACCTTGAAACAAAACCAATGTACTGCAAATCTTGAAATGCATCTTTTGCACTGCATGGAAAAGTAGACAAACAACTTGCCATCTTGAGTCTCTCAGTAAAACTGAACTTGTAGAATATACAATATTCAAGATTGAGCCACTCCAATAGTTGCAGTTGTTAATATGGACTAATCTATTTCTGCTATATCCCAGGCTGTTGGCATGAACAAAAACAAATGAAAATCAAAGCCAAGCATATTTTAACATATAAATAAACAACTTTTATTCATTCACTGTCTGAAAACAGCAATGATTGTATGGATTAAAACAATGAATTCCATGTGCGTGTTAGCTGGTTGCTATGTTCAATTACGAGGGAATTTAGCTTCTCCAAGCAAATTGTGTAAATGACCATCAACAAATGTACAAATTTTTTCATGTTTCCTGAATTGAGGATTTGTATGCAAAATTGGAACAGGGCCAAAAGTACAGTAAATTTTATTTAAGATATGTGATATTTCACATATCATTAGATAAATAGTCAAAATAGTACATTATTATCAATTCTCAGTGTAGCCTTTATAGGTTTCACCACCTCAGTTTTAGGGGTAAGTTTGCTGAATTCATTTTTTTTTATTTTTATTTATTATTATTAGTAGTAATAGTAGTAGTAACAAAAAAAAAATTATTCAAATGTTTCTCTCATGTTCAGCTCTATACAGCTATGTCCAAAGCAGGAAATTAAAATGGGCAATAATGACAAAAAGAACTTCATTGATGTCTTGTTGAAAATGTTTATACAGAAATTTTGAGGAGGTAACAGAACTTCTGTGATTTGGCTAATTAAAATTTTTTTTTACTTTCTTGACGATTTTTGAAAACTTTTTTTTTTTTTGTTTATTGGTTCATTTCTGTCATATTTTATTCTTAAAACTCTTTACATCAGATCTGAAAAGTGTTGAAAGATGTAATGTTAGCTTTTCTTGTAAAGGATATGCTTGATGCGGCATAGTGATTATCAGTGCAGAAAGAAATAGCAAGGCTTGGTTGCCACCCATGCAATGAGTAGGAAAAACCAGCTTGAAGAGTGATGAGCTTTGTCAGGCTACCTTGCCCTAGACACACCACTGCTGCTATGGCTGCAGTAGATATAGTGACTACCTCTTATAATTTAAGAAATATATAAGGCAAATAACACTTACCCACCATATTTGAGCAGCTGTGGTTAAATAAAAAGTGTCTTAAAACTGAACTGCTTTTTTTTTCTTTGAGAAAAGCGACAAAGCATTCTTTTAAAAATGTGCAGATGATGCACTTAATGCTGAATTTCTGATTTACTTTCCAATTATATAATTCAAGAATTCTTGTAAACAAATTTTGGTTAAATCCAATAAAATTTGTCCTTAATACAATATCATCATAGGGTTAAAAAAAACAAAACAAAAGCGATCATCAATTTATCTTATTTTTATTAGATGAATCATTGTCAACCATTATTTTTGACTAGCACTTACTTTCATCTTTAGATTTAAGTTGCTGTTTATTGCAATTTTATTCAGGTCGTCAATTTTATAGTAGCAAATAGACAGAGCACATCAGAAATAAATGCCCTCAATATGATTCAAACTCAAATTCTTTTAGTCACAGCGAAGCTTGGTAAATGCTCTGCTTTTACCACTGAGTCACAAGAACAGCTTTACAAAACAACAAATTTCAACTATATCTAATTATAAATTAGGTGGGGTAAAAAATAAAAGTGAGTGCTGCACCTCATTGATTGCTGATAAATTTTATTAACATTAATGCAAATGCAATTAAATTTTAAGCCAATACAGGACAGTTGCTGATTTCATAATACACAATTATTTAATCTTTTAGATAAAGCCTTATCATTATTAATCTGGAAGGCATTGTCATGCTAAGAAAGGCCCCCAAGAATAAGAGATGCGAATTCAAATCTTGCCAAAATATTTTCTGTATTACAATTCCATCATCTTAGAATAATAAATTGGCAGTTGTGTTAAAAAGCAATGAAAAGTGAAAGTAAAACATCGATAACAATGTTAAATTATTTAGAATAATTTTACTTAATTTTCATATTTAATTGTACTGATTAATTCTGAATAGCTTTTCAAATGACATAAAATGAAGTTTACATTTATACTTTAGGATAACAGACATTTGTGAAAGATTTAATATCTTTCATAAATTTTTATTACCCTCTAAAGTCAGTGAAGAAGATTTTTTAACAGAAAACTCATCAATGCATCAACAATGTTCTGAATTAAATTCTAGTTCCTTGTGTAAAAAGCAACTGAAAACTGACTTACTTCAATAACGTCATCTGGCAATTCTTTTATTTTATGGATAGTAGCATTTCCACTGAAAAAAAAAAAATAATATATATATATATATACACACACACATACACACAATATAAAATTTTAATTCCAATTATCAACAATAATATTTTGTAAAAAAATATTTCATTCAAAACAAGTTTACATAATGAACAACATTACTTTTATCCTTGAATATATTTGTAACTAGCTTTAAAGCCGCTCTATTGGGCAGCATTTAAGGTATCTCCTGCAGAAGGCTCTTGATTGGGTCTTCGTCACAACAACTAGGAAGGAGTAGATGCAATAGGCAACAATAAACTACACAAAAAGTCAAGATTGATCGTTGCATTTAAGTATTGCATTAATATTTAAGCTTACCTTTTAAAAATTCAATAATTCTGCTAACACTTAATTTAAAGACAATTTGATGTATGTAGATTCTTACTTTCCCTATAAACAACTATTTTTATTTCAAGGGTCACTTTTGCTAGAATTCACAATTAATTTTGATTATTCACAAATTTATTTCCAAATTATAAAAATTGTTATTGTACAAAAAAATAAGCTGCAAAAAAAAAAAAAAAAAAAAAAAACAACACAACTGAAAAGTTTGCAGCCATATCACATTGAAACACCGGTTCTTATACGATCACCAAAATTAAGCAACATCAAGCCTGGTCAGTAACTAGATGGGTAACTGTTTGGGGATTCCGATTGTTGTAAGTCTGGATATGCAAATGTTGTAATGGATAACAGCTCAGAATTGAAAAACTGAGTTCCAATTCCAGTCTGGTTCATTATATTCACTTACACACAAATAACCTTGGAAAAAGAATGAATATACCTCTTCTCCTCCCAGCTATTGATTAACTAGTAGTTATCCCTCCACGTCCCCGACCAAATTCTTACAATCTACAAATATACTCTGGCTTTAAATAACCTGCAAAAGATTGATAAGCTGTAAAAAACAAATCAATCAATAAATCTTAACTGTAATAGCATGGAAATTAAAATTTATAGCCTCCAGTTTGGTACTTTCTGATAAATTTTGTGATGTGAAAGAAAAAAAAAAATAATCAAATATCTTACCTGTATTTTTCATTTTCAATGATAGATCGACCACACTGACCATATGCATTATTTCCAAAACTAAAAACTACAACAAAAGAAAAGTAAATATAAATAGTACGCATGCAGACACACACACATTTTATATATTATATATATATATATATATATATATATATATATATATATATATATATATAAAATGTATGTACAAAATAGTGGTTAGAAAGTTCTTGACTGGTTAAGTTCCCAAAATCTAACCACATATCAGATTAGATGGAAACAAAGAACTTTTCAGCACCCATTCATTCATGGATGAAGAAAAAAAAATTTAACAACTGAAATTATTTTTCTAACACAAATATACTGAACAAAAATACTCTACTTCTATATACTGAACAAAAATAATTTGTAAATAAAAAAATTCTCCCAATTATTCTTTTTCTTCTAACATTATAAAGTTCACAATTTAAATTAACTTTTCATAAACAGGTGTCAATCTATCAAAAGTTCATAAGAAGGCAAAGAATATATAAAAACTTGATTTGAAAATAAAAATAAAATTTCTAGGAGAATTATCTCTAAAATATATAACATTTAGCAAGTGAATAATTCAAAAACATGACCCAGTACTGAAAATTTACTGACCTCCTTCAGTGTCTGTTAGTAAAACTGTGTGTGCGCGACCTCCATCCATACTTAAAACTTTGGTCTTACTTGGGTGAAGCAGAGGTAGATCAATCTTTGCTGGCTCAATAATATAATTTAAATACCTTTCTGAAAGTAAAAAAAAAATGTATGAGCCTTATTTTATAATTTTTAATTTACTGAGTTCTTAAAGTTGTTCTAAGTTATCTCCCTTTAATAAATTAAAAGTTACCATAAATCCAATATCATGGTGATCCTTATTTAAATAAAGATCACTATGTACAATATTAACCTCTGTTCTGTTACTTAAAAAGCTTAAAATTTCTGAAAAATTATACTGCCTGCTCTAGAGTAGGTACAGACTTCATGCTGCCATAAGACTCACTCTTCCCAATAGATATGCAATGCAAAGAAATTATTTTCCTTTTATAAAAATTAAAATGTGTTTCTATAATCAAAAACGAAAATTTTCTATTCAGATCAGTAAATAAATTAAAAGTTAAGTAATACAATCATCAATGAAAAATGCATTGGAAACTTTTCTTCAATGAGAATATTAAAAAAGAAAAAAAAAATTCTCTGGGATGTTCTAAAAAATCTTTGAAAAATAAAACAATTTATCTGCAATCAACCTGGAATTTAAAATAAATATTATTAACTTTTCTTATTTTTTTTCAATCATTTCACCCCAAGCAAGGTAGTAAAGCCACTAAGACACAAGGGGTTAGTGAGGATGAAAGACAATAGAGTGAAGGAAAATGAGAAAATGTTGCTGAGGAGAAACGAACAATAAAAAGAACAGAATTCAAGGAGACAAAAGATGACAGTTGACGTTGCATTTAAATGTTTGTACATTGTAATCAACAGGAAAGCAAGAAGCTAGAAGAGAGTTCCATAAACGAGAGAAGAAACTATTAGAATAGAACTTACAATTACATTCAACAATTTCAAATATAAAATGATGAGACCTAGTTGCCAATCTAGTACTGCTCTTAAATTTGATTTCAAGGTACCAAAGAGGAAAGCTCATCAGATCAGTTGCCAAGAAAATATTTATAGAATAGGCACAGTGAAACTATGTTACAATAGTGGGAAAGGGATTGAAGCTGAGATGCTAGGTCAATACTGATAATATTGCAGATTCTTCTTTGGATGTGGCAACAATATTCAATGCATGGATGAATGGTAGACGTATAAAGGTGAAAGGTAATGTTGGGTGAAAATATTGTATAGCACAACATCGTGAACTAATTTTCTTAACAGTAGACTTGACAACTGACTAATTATAATCATTCCAATTCATATCAGTGGAAGACATTGGACTACGAAGACAAGATGAGTTACTTGCCTGGAAGTTAGCATCAGCCATGTTGAGAGAAGGCAAAATGGTTCTCTAAGCTGATTAAGAGAGAACTGTTTAGTTTTGGAGGCATTAAAACTAACATGCCATTTCTTGCCCAGTTAGCAACAGATTAAAGATCATTTTCAAAATCTGTTTCCCTTGTAGTATTTGTGCCTTACAGGGTGTAAGTGAGTACATTCAGTTAAAATGTGTTTCACCATGAAGTATTGGGTGAGCATTAGTATGAAAGAAAATGAATGAATATATACTCACCCGACTTATGGTCCACAGGATGGTAGCCAACTTGGGAGTCAGTGTTGATTCCAGTTCCTAATACTTCTTGAGATCCTTTATGATTTGCCAAAAATAGTGTAAAGCCATAACCACAGGCTACATTCTGAACCTGAAGGAAACAATTTTAAAACAATGAACAGAATATCTTTATCGAAAAAAATTCAAAGAGAACATCATACTGAGAAAAACACAAATCAAATAACTACTATAAAATTTTATCCTTTTGAACACACTATACCAGTTTATTGATACAATGCTGCAACATTTAATCACAAAAGAGAATTACATAGCCTAAATAAAATAAGGCTGTTCATATGAGCAATTTTATACTAGTTATTTGTTGCTCTTCATTTTTGTTTTACTAGAATATTTTGCAACAGGCTGACACGTGTTGAAATCCTTACAGTATTTAGTATTGTTGAAGTTATCACCAACATTTTTGCCGAGATTTACAGACTCTACATTTCAATTTCACAAACCAATCGATAAAATTTGAATAAGCCGATTTGTTTGGAAAAATACTTTGACAAAAACCCTACTTCACATTTTTTAGTAAAACCAACTGTACTTTGTACCCACTTTACTTGTTTGCACTTCTCCTCAAAATTTGGTTTTGATTGGTCAATGTATGGTTATTTTACAGGGTGTGGAAGACAGATGGACTAACAGAAGTCACAGAATTTTATATGTAAATTCCATTATACAGGAAGTTCTAAAATTGTGATATTCACCCAGAATACCCAGAGGTGGTGTATTGGCAAATAGCCAGGTCTCAGAGTTTAACGGGTTAAACTACCTAATGATTTTGTGTATTGCTCACAATGATATTTATAGTTGAGGTTCCTCTCAAGTAGGAAAATGCAGAAAAGTATTTCATCACATGCTATAAGGATATATTTAAACAAATAACCATTTTATTTGTGGGATGAACAGATTCATTCATTTATTGATTTTCTATTCAAAAGGCTGCAATTCATAGGTTTGGTTTGGTTTATTTTGTTTTACGGCATATCAACCTTAATGGGTCATTTAATGCCGACAACTTTTTTTTTTCCTGGTAATATTTTTGTTTTGTCAAAAATCTATTTCTGGTAATATTTTTTTCCTCAAAATTGTATAGCTGGTAATATCATTTTCAAAAACGTATTACTGGTAATAGTTTTTTCCTTCAAAAATTTATTTCTGGTAATAATTTTTTTATAAAGTATTTCTGGTATCAAAAGTTATTTTTACACTTTTATAATGCTTTTTACCTCAGTTTTGGGGTTAACTATTTGCCCTTAGCTGGGACCCTAACAGGTGCTACCACTCCTGGTCAGGGTAGACTTGGGAACATCAGCAATTATGAGGTGGTTCCACGCTCCTCAAAGCCTACTGATAAGAGGCTAAGCTGGATATAGTTTGTCTTACCCTGGACGCAGATGTAGTTTATCGTCATCCCCAGGATAGCAATTCATAGGAGAGACCCAAACAATTTTTAGTTAAATGTACATAAAAAGAGTAGACACATTCATTAAATTAACCTTTAGCTCCCTGCATTATTAATATTACTGCCCTTTCCACTGCATTCTTTTCTGAGGCCTCTCAATTGCAGTATCCTTATTGTTACTTTCACTCAAAATTGTTGCTATAGCTGTATATCTGTGACATTATTGGCTACAGGCAGAATTTCACTGTTTAAGAAAATAAAAAAATACAGGGATATTAACTCAAATACCTGTACCCACTAAAATAACGTCTATAGTTATGAGTAATAATATCAGATAAAAACTTCATTCAGAAAAATTACACCAACACAGGTAATTAAGACTAACCAAATTACCTTTCTTTTTGAAAATATTAGAAATGAAATAAAGACTATATAGTAACACAACATTTTAATGTAATTAGTCAATATTTAATTACAAAACATAAGACGAGAATTATGATTCAAAACGAACTGACATCCATACGCACATAGCATAGCAGTTATTGGTGCAGAAAGTACAGTACAAATTTCAGACAAGCTCGATGTGTTCACTTTCATACAAATACCCTTGGGAAAAGTATGAATCCATCTCTTCCTTCTTTATGAGTTAAATAGCACGGTAGACTGGGGCATCTAACCTTACCCTGGAAAGAGAGCTCTGGATTCAAAACTGATTGGATTTTTATGGGGCTGGCAACTTCACCACATAAAAGCCAAGCAGTGATACCTAGCTGCTGAAGCCATGGCTCTCTGCCATTAAGGAGGGAATGTATTATATAAAGAGGCAGAAACAAAATGTCGAAATTTCTTTGTAGAAATCTCTCAAAATAAATATTTTAAAATACTAAAAAAAAAGAAAGAAAAAGAAAAAAGATAAAAAGGAAAAAAAGGGAAAAAAGAAAAAGGTAAAAAAGAAAATAGTAAAAGAAAAAATTAAAAAAAGAAAGAAAAAAGGAAAAGAAGGAAAAAAGAAAAAAGGAAAAGAAGGAAAAAAGAAAAAAGGAAAAGAAGGAAAAAAAGAAAAAGGAAAAGAAGGAAAAAAAGAAAAAAGAAAAAAGGAAAAGGAAAAAAAGAAAAAAGGGAAAAAAGAAAAAAGGAAAAAAGGAAAAAAAAAAAAAATAAAGAAAGAAATTTACCTTCATGCGATTGGAATCAAAAAATTTCAGCTGTGCTGGTCGGTTCATGCAAGAAATTGGTTGTTGTTTCTTCTGAGGTCGTAAATAAGATTTGATACCTATAAAACAAAGAGCTTTGAGTAAGTCATTAAGTTAAAACTGTGACGTCACCCTGGCCCTGCCCCCGTGCTATCTTGTGACAATCTAACCCTTGGCTGATTCGGATGGAAATCTAGTTAGATTCGGCATCAGCTTTGTCATTCCCAGCTTGTCTCCAACGTCTGGTTACCGAAGTAACTACTTTGATTTCTAGTCTAACCTCTTCACGTTATGATTTGATCTTAGGTAGACGAAATCAATCAGTCGTTGGGCCGTAGTGCAAGCCGAATTCGAGCAAAGGTGATACCACACAAGTATATGTAAAAGAAAATAAAGTAACAACTCGAAAGATTCAAATGTGTTAAAAAAAAAGAATAACAAGTATCTTTATATCTGGTTGCTGAATACAGGACTGTGTCTTTCTCCCAAACCGCTTCTATAGATACGTGACACTTTGTGTTTCTTAAGCGAGTTTTAATATCTTAAGTTGTTTTTCAATAAACTGGTTTTTGGCATCTTCAGGCGATATTCGTAAAACTTGTTTTGGTGGTGTGAGTCTAAGTCATTCTTTAAAAAAAAAAATTGTTTTTGGTTAGAAGTCTAAGTCGGAATGTGTGGAAATCTTTCAGTCTGCTCCTGCGAGGCTGGTCTCCGAGCTCACAGCTCAACTCTGTGACTCCAACTCTGCTGCGTAACTCTACTCCGTAACTCTGTCTGCTCTGTGACTCTGTAACTCTGGGGACGTTCGTTTATATGGACACCGACCAAAACCGTGTGGGGACCTGTCGTGGTTTGGGTTCCTCGATAATTCCAAATCCGCAACAAGGATTCTCTTTGTTTTCGGACAGGAAAATTTATTGCTTCCCATTTTTTGGAAGTCAATTACTTTCTGTTTTAGAGGGGTTCTTAAGGGAATTGTCCTCCAAAATTCTTCCTTTCTCATATTGGTATCTCACACTAATCCCCTCAGAGGGCATTAACAGGTTTCCCTTCTTTCTCATATTGGTATCTCACACCAATCCCCTCAGCGGCGTCAACAGGTTTCCCTTCTTTCTTATATGTTTACCTTCGCCCATCGCTCACGCCACCATTCAGCCAATGAACGCTCAGCAGTGTGGGCGTGGCTAGACTGGCCTCAGTTTACAATTATCGCTCAAAGAAAAAAAAAATTATCTTCCTTTTTCTTATCTTTCTTTTCCCCGACTAGAACCCCCACGACTCGTACTGTGGTCATTAAATCTCTATCTTAACTGGATGTCATCTGGGATTCATCAACAGGATTTTCACCAAGTGATTATCTGGGTGGTCAACTGAATCTCTTTGTCTTCCTCAACGTCTTCGTACTTCTGTCGCCAACAGTCTGTCCAGGTAACAAACTTTTATCATGGCAAGGTCTGGACATAAAACAGGTGGTTCTCTTCCAAAACCAAATGATATCTCCGAAAGATAGTTAATGATTTATTCTTTTCCTTTTACTCTTCTTCCTTCCTTTTTCTTTGGGGTGGTCTCAGCCAATCCCTTTCTCGGTCGCATGCTTGACCCAATTCTGATTATCTTCCAGCATTCCGCTTTGTAAGCCACTTGACCAATTTGAAATTTTCATTATTGCCCTGGGCAGATTGCTATCTTTTATTTGCCGCATCATGGCATAAATTAATTCTGACAGATCTGAGATCTTACGAATTTCCTATCTTCTGCGAAAAAAAATACTTTTCTTCGCAATGAAAATAAAATCTTTACCCCCCCCCCAAAAAAAATAACATCACTCAGTATGTCTTTCATGATAGCTTCTTCTCGCCTTAAGTATTTCTTGCTTTTAAATTCCACGCTTAATTAGTTAGCCAAACGCTAAATAGTATCACACAACAGTCCCAACCTATGATGATTCGTGGTTATAACACAAACTGCATAATTTAGTTTTGACTATAACTTGGTAAAATCCCGATAAAAAGAAAAACAAACATGAGTTTGTTTTACTTTCCTCCACAAATTTTTTGCTGCTTCCAAGTACTGCAAGAAAGACATCTACTGAGAGCCAATGACATCACTGGCAATAAATATACAAGCAGCTTAAAAGAATTTTATTATATGTATTATATTTATGTCCTCAATGTGTTTAGTCCTAATTATTTTAACATATGTTATAGATTATTATTTTACTATATGTAAATGAGGTAAGTGCTTATTCACAGAAAACTGCAGGTACATTCCGACTTACATAGAAAATCGTGTTGTAGAAACAGAATTCTGTCATGAGTCAAGGCCCCTCTGTATTTTTTTTTTAAATAATCATAAAAAAAAACAAAAAAAAACAAATTTTTTTTAAAATCAGCATTTTTATCATCAAAAATTAAAAAAAAAAAAATTAACGAAGATAAACCCAATACTTCATGCTTGCTTGCTTGCTCTCACAGTTGACTATTGTTCCAGCGAAGTTTGCAGCCTTGAAAAATAAATTTGCACTGCATATACATAGATATTTTTCAAAGCGGGATGGTCATTTTACAAAGACAGTATCACTATGCAAAATCACTTTTCTTTTTTTTTTTTTTTTTCTTTCACTTCAATATGATGATTAATTGATTTGTTTTTGATGGTTTATCAAGCCTATTTAAAGCTGAAAAACATTTTTGGATTGTAAGAATAATTCTTTTTTTTTGCAGGTGAATATTTCGTTAACAATATTTTAGAGATAATGACTTTTCCAAATATAAGTCTTGCTATTTAACCCATGGCAGGGGAAAAGAGAGGGATTCATCTCTTTCCCAAAAGTATTTGTGTGTAGCTAAATGTAACGAATTTGATCATCAATATGATGAGAAATTGACAAACACGATAGTTTACTACCAATCTGCCACAGACACTTTGCTCTCACTTTCACAGTAGAGTTGCCCGTCTCCTAAACTAACTGCCAGGCTAGGGTCATCTAGATTTTTGGGAGGTGTACCCAACTGTGATATCATCCTGTCATCCTTCTCCAAGACTGGCTACTACACAAGGCTATAGTGGCCAGTTCGCCCTGTAACTAACCCAAACCTGGTGGGGATAAGGCATGAACTTGTGCCTTTCACAAGGTGATCAGTGTGAAGTGAATGCAATGAATTTGGCTAGAATTTGTAGATTCCATTTTCCACATCAATAAGCATCATACTACCCACATGTCCCTGATGGCTAAATATCATTTACTTTTCAAGAGGTGAATGTTTGATGTAGCAAATTCTAGCAAGGCATTTACCAAAGTTTGGTTTGGTTTGGTTTGGTTAGATTTTGTTTAATGGCGTGTCAACCCTGATTGTTCATTTTACATCAACCAGGTGAATACATATATTAAATATAGACATATGCTTTTCTCTTTTCATTTGGCAGCTACAATTCATTTTAAATAGATTGTTTAATCTGTCAATTTGTAGTCCTTCTTATATACCCATACACAAACAATTTTTAAAGGAATTTAAAAATTCCTATTTCTTTTAGAAATTTTATTATCTGGCCAGGGGCAATATCTTTAAACAATATTTTTATATTTGTGACATTGTAATATTTACAATATTTAAGCTGATAGCTTTTATATTCAATCAGAATGTGCTTAAGTGCCAATCTATGATTTCAATGGGTACATCAAGGTACGTTCTCAGCTTTTAGCAGATATGCATGAGTTAGTCTTGTATGCACAATATGAACTCTAGTTAACATAGTGTCCTCTTTTTGCCCTTTTAGTAGTTTTGTGTTTGCCTGTTTGATGCTTGACTAGTGTTCTGTAAAGTTTGTATTCTGGGAATGTGTCATGTTATAGGATTTCTTTTTTTACTAGTTCATCTATTTTCTCATTACCTTTTTAGGTATTTATCAAGGAATTTAATATGAGAAATATTTGTTTAAGTCTCTAACAGTCTGAATGCTTTAAACGATACAAGTTGTGCATTAGTGGGTCAACAATGCATTATTAAATTACTATTATACGACTTTAGTTGGCCTGCTAGAAGGGATAATCTAGTCTTCTTATATGTGACATGTCCGTTCGAGAAGTGGCCAATCATGGGCCTCCAATGCTTCTCTTTTGTAACTCTAAGCAAAATTTATCCCCTTTCCATCCCTTTCAGTCTTCACACTCCCATCCATTTACAAGCTCATTAGTTAGGTAATTTGCTGTTTCCCCTTTGTCCCTTTTGCTTTCCAGATGTCCTGTGAGTGTTAAATTCTCCAAACCCTCCTTCCTTATTATGCATCCCAGAAATGCCAACTGTCTGTTTCTGATTGTTAATATAAGTGTCTTTTTCATTCCTAACTCTACCAAATAACAGAAACCACAGCACTTGAGGACTTTCAACAGCAGCAACAACTAAAATGGATAGCACATGTAGCACCAAAGAGAAAATAATGAAATAATACTACTTTAAATAAAAGCTTAAGAAGGAACACCCCCCCACTCATCCACTAATAAATACTGAAAAACTATTTAATAGAAAAATTTGAATGATAAATTTCTGTCAACATAGCACTGGCTGCTCAGCCAATGAATGCTGGATGTTTCCTTATAAGGAAATGGCTAATATTACCATTGCCATTTTTTTCTTAAAAATTTCTCATTGCTTACATGTTCTGTTCATGGTATTCTCAGCATCCTTCTGTAAAACACCATCTCTTTTGCCTAAAGTCTTCTCTTCATCTTTGAGGAAATTGTTCAGTGAACTGAGAAGCAAAGGTGCTAGAAAACCGGTAGTGTGTTTGTACTTTTAAAAAAAGAAAATTGCTAAATTTTCAAATGATTAATCTCTGAGTGAAGCTCAAATTATATAATTATTGTCCTCTCAACTACTTCATATGCATGTGAAATTTGGAAATCTACCACAAAAGTTATCCAACTCTGAGATGTGTTCCATTTAAGATGCCTTTGCAAAATCCTAAAGTTATCTTGAAGAAACAGAATCAGGAACGAGAAAATGCTAAGATGTACAAATTTTAGAAAACTTAGGTTAATGGAGGCAGATAAATAGATACAGTTCACTAAACATATTCTGCAATTGTCTGACAGTCAGTTAGCCAAAGTTGCTCTAAACTGGATACTTCAAAATACCAAAGGTCATCCTGAAATGGCATGGTACATTACAGTTAAAAAAGGACAGAGAAAAGAAGCACCAACTGGTTCTAAAACACTGCGACTTGCCCAAGATCGATCTGTGAAGGTAAATTGTGGCTCTTTGCTGAGCAACAACTGGAGGAAAAAAGTAGCAAGGTAGCATTATCTTGATACTGCTATCTTTTTTCTCCCCAATTTTTATACTTGATTACTCTGCTACAAAAGAGGCACCTCAGTAAAATATTGACAATATAATTTAACAGATGTTATTAGAAGCTAAAAGATGAACATGTAACATAATACCGTTCAGAAAAAAATAAAAAAAAAGATAGTCTTTACCAAGAGCTCCTGTGGCTGCAAAACCCCATACATAAATTCTCTCATTCAGCTTAGTAGCATTTTCAACCGTAAACTGATATACGGTTTCTTTGATCTCTTCTTGCTTGATTAGCCGCTTTTTCCATGTTGAAGAAAAGCGATGAACAGTTTTAGAATATTTATGATTCAGTTGACACAGTAAACAAAGTTTACCAGCCAATGCCATCTGTCAAAGCAAAACAAAAGAAAATTAAAGTGGAGAAATAGTTTAAAGAAAAAAAGTAAAAGAATGAATAATCAAGGTAAGTTCCCACTGCAATAAACAATTGGTAATGTTTAATCTTTGTGCCTGCAAAAAAAAAAAAAAAATGTCAAAAGGACAATTATTCCCTTGAGACCATTATTATTTTGACTACCTTCACACTCCCTCAGTAATGTTTATGGTTTTAAAAAGCAATGATTAGAATTGTAATAAAAGATATGAAAGTGAATTTATACATTTTCTTTATTCTTGAGAATTGACAGCAAAAATATTAAACATTATTTATTTATTAGATTGTTTATTAATATTAATATAATAAAAATATTAAACATTAAATATTATATTAATATTATAAAAATATAATAAAAATATTGAACATTATTTATCAAATATTATATTAAACATTATAATATTTTAAAAAATATTAAACATTATTTATTTATTAGATTGTTTAAACTATTGCTTATTGGAATTGTTGGTTAATTACCAATTGATTCAAACTTTGTAAAATAGTAAATAAAATGTGAAGGAGTAAAAGTAGTTAAAATAATAGTGATGTCAAGGTAAAAACAATTTTTTTGACCGTTTTTTGGGTTTTTTTTTGTAGGCACAAAGATTAAAGATTGCCAAAGAATCTTTTGAAGAAACATCTTCTGTACTTTCAATCATTTAAAAAAGAAAATCTTTTTCAAAAATAATCATTCAGATCAGTGGTTTTCAACCAGGGTTCTGCAGAACCCTAGCATTCTGCCAGTAAAGCTCAGGGGTTCCGCAAGAAGTTACACAAGTACTATGATTGACAGTAATTTTTAATTGCAGGTGTACCTCGAGCCACTGAAATGTTTCCTTGTGGTTCCGCTCCAGCAAAAAGGCTGAAAACCCTGATTCAGATACATGCATTCACATATTTTCTATCTCATTAACTCAAATATGAGTGGACATGGCTCATCTGCCATTAGTAAAATGTGAATAATTAATTGTATATGCGTATTTATATCACAATGGTTAGTTTTCAAATCCTAGAATTTCAATTGATTATTCAAGATTGTTATCAAAATACTGTTAAGTAGAGTGTTTTTCACTTTTTTTCAGGACATGGATAATCATAGCTCCCTACAGATTCCTTTTCTTTATTATCTGTGAATTGCTATGTCCTATCAAAATGCAGACAATCATGGCTCTTCACAGATTCCTTTGTCATCCATGAATTATAATTTCTTGAGAAAGATAGTGGAATGGCTTCCTGTTGCCTTCTCCATGGTTTTCAAAGTTTTCAATTCAGTGTGGCCCTTCTCAGAGAGATTAGTATATCCTACTATTTCATCCATAGATAGAGGTGGATAAGAAATTGATTCATGTTTTTCACAAGGGTATAAAGGCGAAGTGAATGTAACAGACTAAACCAGAAGTGACTATTGCTCACCAATTTTAATTCTCACACGTCCTTAACAAAATATAAATACTTACATTATTGTCAAAATATGCATTTTTTTTTTTGTATTTTAAACATAATGATAAAAAAGTTATACATTTTTTTTTTAATGAAGAACAGAGAGTAAAATTAATTTTTGTATAGAAAAACAATGATTGCTCTGTTTGATCAGGCTCAACTAACCAGAGACCACTCACTAGGATTAAGTTTGATTCTCATCATATGTGCTTGAGTCATGTTAGCTAAACTTTGTCAATATAAAGTGATTGTTAAAAGTGAGTCAAGCACTATTTTAAAATTTTAAGTAGACTGGTTCACTTGTGAAAAACAGAGAAAAGTTTGTTTGTTGTTTTTTTTTTTACTTTTGTAAATTAGCATTCATTAGAACTTCCTCAAGCCCAGACACTTGTCAGAATCGAAAAATATTGATTTTTTTTTAATCAATTTAGGAGGGGGGGGGGGTCCTAAACAGAGCAAAATCGATCCCTGACTTTTACAGAGTTATATCTGAACTTACTTTATTTACAAAAGTCAAGGTTGAAACTGTGTTTATCATTGATTTACATATAAAAACGGATATAGACATTTTTAAATTTTAAAGGACCAAAAATTTACATAATTTCTGTTGTGTCCACACTCCTTCCCCGTCTTTTTGAACAGGCTTCGTTTCGGTTTATCCCTTGTTTTCATAGTTGGAATTGTTTTCGATTCCTTCTCCTAAAATCTTCTCATTTTCTTTCATCCATAAGTGTAGCCCCTTAGTGGCATTATCGTCTTGTTTGGGATAAAACAATTTTTAAAAAGTAAAATAATGAAAAATATGTCGATATCAATGGCATAAACAGAAACTGAAACAGTTTTTAAAACTTGATATTTGATTTGTAAATAACTCTGTAAAAATCAGTAATCAATATGACGATGATCCCTCTGCTACATCGATAAAAATCGATTCTGACATGTCATGGTTTGCAGAAAGTAATGAATGCTAATCTACAACAATCAAATGTTTTTCTTATTTTTTTTTTACAAGTGGATAAGTCTTTATTTCGGTAGTCAGAGAGTCCTAATTTCACCAAGCCAATGGTAGTGTGTTCAATCCTCAGTAACGTTGCATTGTCTGGCCAACATTGATTTTTTTTTCGTACGACGAACGTAACAACTACATATTAAATATTAATTGTTAATCAATTGAAATTAAACTAAACAAGTAAACTGAAATATTGATAAAAAAGGTTGGAAATCAAGGTCAATTAACTACAATTGTATTAAAAACAAATATAAATTTTTAAAAACATTTTTTATGAGAAATGTCTGGTTTTAGAGAATGTGTATTGTTACACAATTGTAATTTGATTTGAGAGAAAAATATATACCATTCAATTCAAAGCACTCCCTCCTTATCGATTTTCCTTTTTTTATTGTTGTTGTTTTTGTGTGAATTCAAGCTGCAGTCAGAAAATCCATCCATTCATCATAGGTTAGCACTCAAACTAAAGTTTACTAAAGTCAATAAATTTCTTTTGTTGAATTTTAATACGAAGAACACAGTTTTTCCTTTTAATATCCTTAGACCCCAAGGAATGTATGTACATAATTCGATACACAAACAAAATTCCAGCATTTCTAATTTACTATCGGTTCTTTAAAATAAAAATGTCATTGTCATGACCATTGCAACGTATGTTGCATTTAACATTTTAATGACACAGGTGATATGAAATATTTTGATAGGTCAAGTAGTTCACCTTCTAGCCGATAACATAAAATAAATATATAATGATATATGGTAAAAAATAAATAAATGCAAAGAATCAATAAGGAAACCTACTTTTGAAAAGCACGAATTAATCAATAAGCCATGAAGTTAACACACGACCGGTCACCACCGAAAAATTTCTCTGTTGTTTATTTCTACAAGTTACCGTCAATATTACCTTAAATCCTAAATGGTAAAAATTTAATAAAATAAAAACACCAGGCGCTTTAATATCAAAATTATGTAATTAGAGTAAAGTCAAACAAGTTTTAAAATGCCTTCTGTAAAATACAAATTATTGTTTTGTTTTTTCAACAAAAATAAAATACAATGTGAGCCGAATTTTTTGCAAGCGTGTGTTTCGTTTATGTACTAATTGGGAGAAAATTGTTAATATTGACGACACTTTAAAAAAAATTTAACTACCAAGAAAAAATGGTCAAGTTATTAAAATACAAAATCTTGTTTATAAAATAGATACTTAAAATTATCTGACATGTATTTAAAAAAAAAACAACAACAAACAATGTTTTATTCCGTTCATTCATTAACTCTTTACTGTTTCGGATTTATGGCGATCAAATTTTTTTTTAACTTTCCAACCGTTGGCAAATAAATTACCGGCTTCTTTTGTTAATTCTTTATCTTATATTAAAGAATGTGTCCTTAACTATTTAATTAAAACAAAAATAATTTCAACAACTTCAAATTATTTATGTAAAACTTCAAAACAAAAGTACTGTAAATCTCAGTCGTCATCATGAGTTTGAAGGACATGTTGACACGGAAATAAATAGGATGGTATTTAAACGGAATTTCCGATTTCTTCAAGATCTTATTTAAAATCATTCATTTAAAATAATATTTACAATTAGAAACTAAACTATTCATGACTTTATGATTATACATCGGTTTATTAGCTTAATTTTAAAGACAAAATAAGTGTTTTTTAAACTAAACACGCCTTTAACTAAAAAAGACAACCGGCTTTTTATTTTTTTATTTTTATCTTAACAAGGTAAAAAAATATACTTCTCATTAAAATGAATGAAAAAGATGAATTAGTTAAATGCGAAATAAATCTTTTGTTATGAGAGAAAGAAATAAGAAGAGAAACTTACTATATTTACGAGCGGAACAAATAATTTCCCTTTTTAGTTTATGCTGTCATTGAGTGAAAAAATGAATGACTTCGCGGATGCGTCACGTTTTGATTTGAAAAAAATAGTTATGCCCGAACTTTTAAAATTACGTTTTTCTGTGTGAAATAAATTCGTAAAAATTACTTGAAAAAATATTAAGCAACTCAACAAAATATATTCAACATTTTACTTGGAGGGAGGGAAACTATGGCATGAAAACTAAAAGTTTAACAACTCTTTCTCTGTTTAGAGAAAAAAATACCATAACTTCAGTTGATGAGGAAAAATATGTCATACAAAAAATAAATATTTTAATAAAATATTTAATAATGTGTTTAATATTTTAAAATTAATAATGCATTGTTTTAATTTATAACTTTTATTTTAATAGAATTAATTATAAAAAATAAAATAAGTAGTAAATTTAATAAACTTTAAATGTTGAAAACACTAAAAAACTTTCCAAGTCTTTCTTAATCCTCAACTATTCAAACAAAACATTATTTATTTCAGTCGTAAAAATTAACCACTACTTTTATTTTATTAACATATAATATAAATATAAAATATTTTTAGTTCATTTAAAAATATTACTTAGATTTTGATACATATTTTGTTAAATGAAAATATTATTTTCTCTATGGCTTTGTTGATCAAAGACTATTTCTTTTCTTTCGTGACTTTTTCGTATAAACAAAGTTTAACTGCAGTTTACATTTTTATCAAAATAAATAAAGCTACTGTAGGAGTACAAAAGAATTTTAAACATATTCAGAATTCCTTTAAAAAAATATTTGCAACACAAAAGAATACCTAAGCTTTTTATGAGAAAATGTTACGTTTTCGTTGAAGGGTTGAAAAATAAACTTGTAACTTATTTGAACCTATATTCATGAAACTGGTTTCCAGCCCAGAAGAGTTGGAAACCAATAAAAATTAAATTAATTCTTATGCCAGGTATCCATTCTCCAAGTAGCACCTCCCCATTGAACAGACTACTGCATGGAGCACACCTTGATGCCTGTGGCAGTTTGGCAATGTCAGAGGGAACAACGTAATTTCTAGAAAACCCATTATGTGGCCTTGAGTTGTGTGTGGATCACAGGATACTTACTCTAAACTTTAACAACCCTGAGTCACATTTGTCCTAATATGATGATGTTACATATGTATGGGATTTAAAAGTTGCATGTTAAGTGTATTTTAAGTATATGTGTGTTCATATGTAACCAATTAAGAAGAAGCATACAAAAACTTGGGTTTCTACTAGAGTGTTATGATGTTGATTTGGGGTTAGTAGAGACAAACGCCAAATAACACATAACAATAAAAAGGGTTTTAATAGGTTGGTAAAAAGGTACAGAAATCGCCTGAGTAGTCAATAACTAGCTCAGCTAAGAACTTCTCTGTCTATCTGTCTTCCCCATGTCAACTGACATGCCACTATTTAAAGTCTTTGTTCACAGACGCAGACAAGTTCATCTTCAAGAAGGGTGGTAGGTTTCCGACACAACATAGAGACAGTTTATTCTCTTTTTTTTATATAAACTGTGGTGAAACAAAGTATACAGTGTCTCTTGGGTATGTCCATTTTCTTTTCTTGGCGAAGAAGTTACAGTAAGACTAAGCATTGTTAGAATGATATAACTCAAGTCAGCCTTGCACTGAATTGGAATAACCAAAGAAAAACTGTATTTACTTCATTGTTAGTTATAATAGTTGAGCTTAAGTCAGCCTCGTGTTGAGCTGGAACAAAGTAAAACTTTTCTTATTTCATCGGTGGAGTTTTGATAAAACACATGTGAACACTATGTATTGGAAAATGGAAGAGAGTTTCTTTTTCTGGTCTAAAAATAAGTTCAGACAAGTCATGATAAGCATGGTTATAATGGTCAAGCTCAAGTCAGCCTTGCACTGAGTTGGAATGACCAAAGAAAAGATTGATTTACATCATAGCTGGAGGTTTTGGAGGACAGATATGAATGGTATGCACTGGAAAGCCAAAAGATAGTTCAGTCATCAGTGGACTGGAGAAATGAACATGTGAGGACATTTTTTGCCATGAATATACCACAGGTAGCATTTGTAAAGTTAAAGTTGTGGAAGGTTGAGGAGGGGAGGATTTAGACTTGTAAAAGTATACAACTCGTCCACAAAGAAAAAGAAGAAAACAAATAAAATGTAAATCCTAAATTGTTATATTCCAGAACTTGTTAAGGTGTTTTACAAAAATTTTCTTCTTTTTTTAGCTTAGTTTCTTTTTATGAAGACAGTTTTTGTGCAACAGGAAATAAACTGGACATTGGAAGATTTATCCATAACTTTGATTCTGACTGTTACATGTGGCTGCTACTTAGACTCTCACTCCATCACCAGTAGTCCACAGTGAGTGTTACAGCCCAGCAAGGTTAAGTGAAGCTCTCTGTGGCTAAGCAGTCTAGAGCATACCAGATCAGATGGTGGTTTCCCCGATGATGGGAGACATAGGTTCAAAAACATGCTAGAGAGCACATTTTCTTTAAGTCCCTGAAATGTGCAGATAAATAGATGTAATTCACACTGTTTGAAAAAAAAAACAGGACATCTATTCAAACAAATGTATCCACTAAAATATATCACTTAGAATAATAAAAAATATGGCAGGATTATAAATAAAAATCCACTAATTCCTTATATATATATATACTAGTGTACCCGCGCTGTTAAAATTGATGGCAAGAAGGAATGTATCATAATATGTATTATATTGAAAGTAATTTGTCTTTAATATAATTTCGTAATTTAAAATAGTTTATTGTTAACGTTAATAATTGAATAGTCTACAATTTATAAAATTCTCAGGAAAGATATCCATATTTTATCTTCATTGTATGTCAGCATGTGTGCACATGCATGCATAACTTTTGTATACACACTTTTGTGACATACCTTGGGTGTTTTTGAGAGTCAAATTTGCTGAGAAATTAGAACATCATCGCTAGTGATAGTCAATCCCACAATCCAAGACACTTCAAACAAAATTAACTTTATGTGAAGTTTACTTCAAGGTGAAATAAAATATAAACCTTGGCCAAGTTTTGACTGTCATCTATTTATTTCCTCTTTCTATCTCTTTCTCTCTCTCTTTCTTTCTTTCCTTCATTCTTTGTTTGCAGTTGTGTATCTGTTTCTTTTTGTGTCTACTTTTCATCACTCCTTTCACCTTAATCGTAGTTTGCAGAGAGAGGGAAAGAAAAGGGTTGCTTTGTAGTTTGTCAGCGTGGTGGTTTTTTGCATGTGGATGTGAATGGGGTCATGATTTCTGTATACCTCATATCAAAATTTTGCACACTGCCCCTCAATTGTTACACACAAAAAAAACTTATATATATATATATATATATATGGAATATTAGTGTTTAAGCCTTTTTATTATATCCTTACTATGTCCTAGACATTGAGTTCTACCTGGACCCTTCCTCTTGGAAAATTTTTTTCTGAAAATATACATGTATAGGAATTTTTTAGATATATTTTTCATATGTATGTATATTTTCCACTAATATTATCTATATATATATATATATATATATATATATATATATATATATATATAGTTGTATATTTAGGCAGCAATCCTTCCTTTATGCATGTTTCATTAAAAAACGACAGACAAGGTACTACGGTTAAGCTTTTTGTTTAATTTTTCTTGTGTTCTAACAAGAGCTTTCTTTTCTGGACAAAGGGTGTGTAAGAACTGTCCAAATGTTTTATATTTTCGAGCGCTTTTGGCTATACCTTTAGCCATTATCAAGGATGATTCGATTTTTCAGCTTAATTGAGTGTGTGCGTTCTGTGTATGTATTAGTGTATGGTAGGGACGTTTTTACTTTCCGAATACGGTTAGCACATTGTGGCTTTGTTCGTAGTTAATATTGTTAAGAGTTGGCTTTTTTATTATTAAAGCTTCCATTATTTTTAGTCTTTTTTGCAGGTGGATGCAGTTAATATATTTGTGTTTTCTACTAGTATGTTCCTAATGGAGTCTGTTAAATTTGTGTGTGTGTTTAAATGGGTTCTAATGGAGCTGTGATCAGATAGGTGTAACGTAAGACATCTAGAAAAGCATGTGGTTGTGTAATGAAACATGCATATATATATATAAGTTATATACATATATATATATATATATATATATATATATATATCATATTATATTTAAGGATACACACATAATCTCTCACACACACATATAAGTAATGGATTTTAAATCTAACATTATTACTATAAACATTGTATTGAGTGGGTATACATGTTTAATTGCACATCTCTGTTTTTTCATTGTTGTTTTAATGCTGAAATTAATATCAACCAGCCTAGTGAATTAAATCCACTAAAAGAAAAAGAAAATATAATAAATAAACTAGGTACATAGTCAATTAAGTGCCATATGTGATACATGCTTTTTCTATTCATGACTGACTAGGCAGAAGACTTTCCCGCAGCAGGTTGCCATTTCTTTCTGCAGTAGACTGGTTACCAACCAAGGCTATAGGATCCAGTCTTCAACCCATAGCTGGTGGTGGGGAGAAGCAATGGCTTCATAGTTTTCCCAAGGTTATTTGTGCATAAGTGAATGTAATGAACTTAACTAGAATTCAAACTTAGATCTCCAATTTCTCATTCCAAGCTGATATCCATTACACAACACACATTACTAACTTCATATGTCTCTCTCTCTCTCTATATATATATATATATATTATGTCCTTATGCATCCAAAACCCATAAACCACATACATTTTACACTTAGTGACCCTTTCAACTTCTCTAATAATATAATACATTAGCTATCCCTACCTCTTTCAATCTATAATAGTAGTCTGACCCCAGCAACAGATCTGAATAGAAGCTAAAAATAAATTCTCATACATGCAGAATTACATGAACAAGTATGAATGTTGAGCGGGAAATATTAGCTGAATACCAGTTGAGGCAAAGAAACCTGAAGGAGTCGGACAATCCATGAAACTGTCGTGCAACTGGATTCTTCAAACTGAACAGAAGGAATGCTACCTCCAACTCGCACAAACTTCCAGTAGAAAAATAAATTTGAAACCAAGTCTTGTGTTGAACAACATCTCTTTTTACTTGTTACCATCAAGCAAAGGGAATCACACAATAAAGACAAATTACAATTCAACTCAACACACTGTGCTGCTTACATCAAATGCATAAGTGAATTGCTAAGCATGACAATTACCTAAGACAGGCATATGTGAGCCACTCAGTTGGAGGAAGGATCTGGATAGTAAAATCTACATGGCTGAATATACAACTTATATAATGAATTGCTGAACGTAAAAAGTAAAACGAGCTTTTGAGGTCAAAACTCATAACAGTGAAGAAGGAAGAATAGATACTGCTGCTCGAGTGAGTGAACCAAATTGAAAGTAAAAAGAACAAAGAGCAATATAAAACAAGAGAAAGTGAGAGAAAAGGGAAAAGAGAAAACTTTATTTTATTTCAGTCAAAAGACTGAAGCTAAGTGATTGTTTCGACTCTTAATCTCAAAATATAACACATACATCTTTCCACACAGAAAAATATAGCACATCTTTCCATGCATTCTCTTGCATTAATGTTTTCATATATTGTCTAGTTATAATTAAATCTTGTTAATTGTATATATTGGCATTTGTTGTTCATTAGTTGGCTGTCATTTCTCATTTGTGTATTTGACACTGTAAAAAATCTTGTCCCCACCCCATCACGCCACTTTATCTTTATCTTTTGGAAAAAGAGGTAACATTTACCTTTGAATTTTAAAAAATTATTTAATTACCAGTCACTTAACATTTGCCTGAAGAGGTAAAACATAGTACCAAAACATGAAAGCTATTATATAACAATTTCAACATGTTTTTATCCTAATATCTAAAATAAAATAATAATAATAATAATAATAATAATATATATATATATATATATATATATATATATATATATATATATATTAAGAAATGGACAAAAGTTAGACAATTTATTTATTAAAGACATTTTTTATATTTAACGTTCTTTTATAGATACAAGTATTTATTTATATACTTAAATAACTTGTATACATATTAAATAATTGTATCTATAAAATAAATTTAAACCATTTTTAATATATGACGTCATTTGTTTACATTTGATACGCCAGAGCAGTTATGAATGTACGAGATTCATGGAAGATTGAAGTTTATAAGCAGTAAATTCGACCTTGTCTACCGAACGCGCTTCTTTGTGGCCGATCGGTAAGGCATATCAGCGTAAATGACGGTTCCGTATAGGATGCAGGTTCGAATCCTGTCCTGTCTATGAAAAATTTCTCGGACATTCAGGCCGATAAATGTTATTTAATACTGTTTATTATAAACAGAGCATTTACTTAAATACTTGTATCTATAAAAAGAACGTTAAACATAAAAAAAATGTCTTTAATAAATATATATATATGTAATTATTTATTCAAATATTATAACATAAATATGTTATAAAATCACTACAAAAATAACCATTTTGTTTCAACACTTCTGGTGTCTTATCAAGTGATGGTATTGAATCAGTTGTTTAATACATACATACATATATATATATATGTGTGTGTGTGTGTGTGTGTGAATCAAACCTGTATTCATTTTTTAATCTTACATTATTTTTTACTATAAATGTTATATTTAGTGGATACATTTGCTTGAGTAAGAAAGCTTATTTTTTTTATAAACTAAAATTAATGTCAACCAGTCTAGATGGAGAAGTACTACCAAAGAAAATGTGCCTCCCAACAGAAATCAAACCTGTATTCATTTTTTCCATCAGGGAAACCCATTTTAAGCCAAATGTCTTTTAACAATTAGTCTGCAAGAGGCCATCATGATAAAACAAAGTTTAATTGCTCTATTTAAACAATAGATATCTCTCACTGGGACTGACCTCTCAAATCCTAATAAAATAAATGAGTAAACAAAAGGAAAAAAAAAATAAGAGAAAAAGAAAGAAAAATAATCTTATGGCTTTGTTGGGGAGATTTGTTCTGGAAGGCTAAGAGGATGAAAATTTCACCTTGTAAAAATATTCAACTCATCCACAAAAAATAAAGAAAATGTAAAGAAGAAAGCAGATAAAGTGTAAATCCAAAACTTTTGTATTCCAGAAATTGTTAAGGTGTTTTAAAAATCTTTTTTTTTTCTTCTTTTTTTTAGTTCTTTTTCTTATAAATACTTTCATACAACAGGAAATAGACTAGATGCAGGAAGATTTAATGGCCTTAGCTTGGACTTTTCATTCAGTTACTACTCAGGCATGAAGACACAAAATACACATGAATATTTAACAGAAAAATGTTCAGCTCTATTTTAATGTGTGTCACTTGAAGTGTATAAAAACTCTATTAATTTAATAAGTATACCCGTTTAAAAGCTGAAACCTTGCAGATTGATAATTTCGTATATGTTTTAAATACAGTTTAATTTTCATCTTTTTCTGTGAATTATGATTTAATTGAATTTTATTATAAGTTTGTATGCACTCAGTAGGAATATTGTATGTTATTAATAATTTTCAATAAAAAGATGTTTTTATTTTGTTAGAAACTGATTAATTATTAGAACATGTTCTAATATTCCCCCAAATGATTTTCTTCATTTTTAATGACTGAACCAGTCTATTTTAAGTAGAGTTGCTACTTGAATGTTTCCACTGGCATAAATTCTCCTTGGGCCCTGAAGTAATTTTATAAGTAACACCAAGAAACTTGACATTACAAAAATTATAACCATGGAGGCTATGTATCACAAGAAACATCTACACAGATCATGTGACAAGCATGGAAGATTTAGTATTCAGCTAACTATCCACAGGATTAGAAAGGCAGACTAGTGCTATGGAAGAGATAAACAATCTTCTTCAAGAACTTCTACATATTCAGCATGGACAAAACAAGTTGCTAACATTTCTGGACTTGTTTTCTCGTATGGGAAATTTCTTTCCTCCCTTGAAAGCTGACTATTCAATTTCAAATAAACCCTTTGGACATCGCACACATACTACTACTAATCACATATTTTCATTTTTTTTTTAAGTTGTTCATCTCTACACTTGTAAATATAATTTTTTCTTTCCATCTAACCTGTTTTCCCAATTCCTGCTACAATTTTAAGGTGAGAGAAGTGCATTAGCATTAGTCATGTGGCTTTGTCTCAATGTAGTTGAGGGATCTGACACTCACTGGATATTCTGAAGCCAAGAGAATGACAACAAAAATGTTAAACAATTTTTATTAGACTGTTTATTTACAATAGTGTTTAATACTTTTTTCAGTTCTCAATGAAAAAGAGAATACATAAATCCTATTTCATATGTTTGAGTTTTATTAAATTTCTAAAACTAACTTTTAAAACAAAAAATATTGCCAATAAATATTGCCAATAGTAACAGGGCATGTGATGTCAAGAGAAAAATTTTCCTTTCAGCATTGTTTCTTTGTCGGTATGTATGTTAATCTTTATCCCACATATTAAATAAAAAATGAATTTAATAAAAAGAGAAAACAACTTCAAAGATAACAGAAGTCATCAAAACCAATTGTTACCAAGAAACTGTTATAACAGCTAACCTACTCTAAGAATGAGTCAGTAAAAATAGTTTGTTTTTTTTTCTTTTTAATTAGTATTTGATTCCTTTTACTTTATGAAGTTTCTTTAAAGCACACTAACCACTCCTGTTAGCTAACTTTTAATAGAATGGCAGTTATTTTCTAAAGAAAAATGTTATAAGATTATTTCTGCCAAGGTTTATCATCCATAATAAAAACTTGCATTTTACAAAGAATACTTTCAAACAGGAAAGACACTGTTGCTACCTTTGAGCAATTTAGAATTTTTAAAAATTCTCATCTGTTATTAAATTGATGGATGCTATTAAGTTTATCTTTGTTTTTTAATAAAATATTTATATTTTAACAAACTACTGTTGCAGGAATTATTCTTAGTGGTTAGTGCACTTTAAAAAAATTTCATAATTACCCTTTTTCACCTGTTTCTTAATAATAACAGCTGAAACTTTTAACAGTAAATCTCTAAACTATATTGAGACAAAGCTACATGGCCATTCTGCCTGAAAGTCATGAATTGTAGCAAGAATTGGGAAAACAGGTTAAATGAGAAAGAAAAAATTATATTTACAAATATACAGATGGACAACTTAAAAAAAAATTTTTTAAAATTGTGTTTAGCAGTAATGTGTGAGTGGTGTGTGATGTCCACATGGTTTGTTTGAAGTCAAGTAGTCAGTTTGCAATGTGCGGGGGAAGAAATCTCCACTGCCGGAAACAAGTCCAGATGTTGTCACTACTACATCCCAGTGTAAAAGAGAGAGAGAGAGAGTGAGAGGAGGTTTATGGTCCATTCCTTTTAAAGTCTTGAATAGAACGCCATCTAGAGGCGTTAAGTAAAGTCCATTGTCAGACACAGTCGATTAATCCTTCACCAGTAATCTATACCCAAGCTTTTCAAACTGGTATCCATCCTGGGTATGATGATAAACTACATCTGCATCCTGGGTAAGGCAATAAACTACATCTGACAGCAAGGCCTCTAGTCAGATGGTTTTGAGGAGTGTGGAATCACCTCTTAATTGCTGATGTTCTCAGGGCCACTCTGGCCCGGGGTGGTAGCACCTCTTAGGGTCCCAGCTATGGGCAAATAGTTAAGCCCTAAACTGGGGCTAAAACACTATGAAAATGTAAAAATAGATTTTAATACCAGAAATACTTTGTAAAAACTTATTACCAGTAATACATTATTATCAGCAATACATTTTTAAAAACAAAAGATATTACCAGCTATACATTTTTGAAAAAAAAAATATTATCTGCTATACATTTTTTGAAAAAATATTTCCATCTATACATTTTTGAAAAAAATATTACCAGCAATAGATTTTTGAAGAAAAAATATTACCAGAAATAAAAATTTTGTTGGCATTAAATAACCCATTGAAGTTGATATGCCATAAAACAAGACAAACCAAACCAAACCAAACTGGTGTGTCATGACACTTTAGTGCAGGATTCCCAAAATATTTTATACCTTCAACCCCTTCATGAAATCCTTAAACCCCCATACATGAACAAAGGAAATATCAATAATAATTATTTCTTCTGTATGAATTTCTGGGATGAGATGTCATTATTTACATGTAGACTGTAGTCCTCATCTTTGTTGGATGAGGACAATAGTCTACATGTAAATAATGTAAATAATTATTTTTTATTTGAGGGTAGAAATTTCCTTTGCCATCATTATAGTTCTCAATAAGATATATTTTATCTTTATATTTTGTTATTGCTTTCTTAATTTCTATCTCTCTTCCAGTATGAGATGTGTTTCTTTGAATAATAATAAGATGGAAAAGAAAAAGAAAAACAACTTAATAATACAAGTAATAATAAATACATTAAATTAACTTTATTTAAATTTAAGAGTAATAACTAATAATATAAGAATATGGCAACCATTTTGGAGACACTTGTTCTTCTTTATTTACAGACAGAAATTCCTTTGCCCTTTCCTCATTGTTTCTTGATAAGGTTTATTTTAGCTTTATTATAAAATTTTTATTTTTACTACTTTAAAAATGTTAGTCTTGAATAAATGCTTAGTCATTTAGGTTATTTTTTTAGTACACCTTCTTTTAAGAGAAGTGTATTTTTATGAAGGCCAGACGGTTCGTGGAAAAAATTGTTAATTGTTACACTTGCACATCTTTTTCAGCTAAGCAGTTAAAAACTGGCAAAATTGTGAAGGATCCATTTCAAGTTTATGGAAAATTATTTTTTCATATATATAGACCAATGAAAGATGTGGTCCCAAGCCCTATTAAGAACTCGAATGGGGGACTTCTGTCAGCTTATTTTTCTGAATAAGTAGAACTCAGTTTGGTGGATAAAGGAGAAAACTTTTTGACAGCAAGGGAACAAGGTAAATTAGCATCAAGATGAGAGCATTTTAGAGAAGGCACAAGGTTATAAGCCAGCTGCAGAGAGACTAAAGAATTTTGAAGTTCAAGTAAAAATTCTCCTGCAGTTGGACAACAAAGAACAAAAAGAATTCAGAGAAATTTTCCCAACAATTTCCGAACAATGTGAATTTAAAAAGGACTTTTCTAAAATTACTATATGTCCCAGAGATACTCACGGGGCAAGTAAAAGTATGTGCTTTCATTTTTCTGAAAGATGGTTGCACCTTTGTTTTTCTGTCTTCTGGAATTGTTTTCTCTTTTTCTTATTGTGTGTCTTTTCCTAAACTGTGACCCTTTTTTCCATTTTTCGGTGGTAATCCGTTTTATTAGAAATTGTTATCCTGCCTTAATCAGTGCACAAAAGGAAATTTTTGTGCAAATTTTGCATTTGTGTCTTTTTTGTCTTTACTTGTGTAACAAAGGTTTTTCTTTTTTAAAATTTTACATTGTGGTTGAGCTTCATTTCATTATTTGCACCTATTTTGACCTCAAGAAGAGAAGCATGTGTTCTCTTTTCCCTTTCTTGTTCTGTTAACTAGGTTCTTCTGTTAGGCACAAGAATTTAGATTTGGTAGGGAGTTAAAAGTTTTATATTATGCTTTGTTATTCCTTTTTCTATATCTCTTCCTTTAAAGGGCAACCATCTTTCAGAAAAATGAAAACAAGTACTTTTACTTGCCCTGTGAGCATATCTGGGACATATAGTAATTTTAGAAAAGTTCCTTTTGTTTGAACAATAATAGTAAGAATAATAATTCTAATAATAAGATGAAGAAGAAGAAACTTCATAAATAATCTAAGTAATAATAAACACATTTAAATAATAATAACAATAATAAATAATAAACATATTAAATATAAATTAATAAACTTGTTCATTGAATTGATTGACATTATTAATAGTAATTTATTGTTGTTGATTTTTTTCTAATCCATTGCAGGTTATTTTAAACCAGAAATTATTTTTACATTACAAGATTATTTTTTTCAAGATAATAATGATTTTAGTGAGACAAGTCTTACTAATTAACCCATAGCTGGAGGAAAAGAGGTGGATTCATACGTTTCTCAAGGGTATTTTGCACATAACTGAATATAACAAACCCAACTGAAATTGGAACTCGGCTCTCCTATTAAAAATTCTGAGGTATTATCCATTACATCACGCACACATCAAAGCTTTCAGCACTTGATATTCCCAAGTGGTCACCCATCTAGGTAGTGACCAGACCCGACATTGCTTTAATGGGAAGGATGTGCTTTATGTGCAGTAGCAAGTGCAATGATATTTGGCTAGAAATTTTTGAGTCACCACAATTTATTTATTGACCCCCTTTTAATCCCCAGTCATTTATGTACACACTTTTGACCACTCAGGCATTTATTAACCTCTTGGATATTCACATTGACAAACAGTAGCCAATATTGACCACTTTGGTGAACTCTGCTTTAGTACAATTAATTACATATTCTTCCCATACTTATCAAGTAATTGTTTTATTGAATTGCTTCCTTATTTTTGAGTTATATATTTGGCTTGACTAAAAAAATTCAAGGAATATGTCGTAAAAAATTTTTTTTTTTAAATAGTGTATACCAATGCAAAATGTTTCAAAAGCTATGATCTAGGATGATGGTGAGATCAAACATTTCCATAGAGGAAACATTCCATATTCACTGAATGTACAGTTTGCATTACTCTTGGTTGAAATTTATGAAATATTTTTTATCAAAACAATTTTTCAGGACATAAAACTTATCCACTCTACTGCTATCACTCTTTCTATTATTAATGGGCGTTTACTTATGCTGGAGAACCCCTGGAGAGTGGTGGTGGGGGGGTGATATAATATAGGATATGGCCTGTTCACCCATGTAAAGATGAGTCACAAGAGGCCCAAAAACATTTAAAAATAAAAGACGTTAAACTGACAAGTTAACAAGAGGACAACAAAATGACAAACTCAAATTAATACAAAAATTTATTTACATAATATATATACAAAAGTAGTGTTTTGGTTAAAGAAATATGAACAAACAATAAAAATGGAAGAATAGTGACCAGATAGAATATCAATAGGCAAAGGTCCCAAAGTAATAAATCATCCACCATGAACATGAATGGAAGTAGTAGGGGCACTACAATACTTCCTAT